TGTAAATGACGACGTCAGCGTCAGTGTTGTCACCATCAAGTGCCAGGAGCAGACGCCCATACAGCCCAAGACGCCCATCATTTGCCTCAAGTAATGTCGTCTCGCTGCCGTTTTACCTTTTTGTGTCGTCCCCCATCATCAACTTCACTTTTCATTTAGCTTTTCGCACAGTTGTCGGCATAAAATGTGGCGTTTTATGTTGCGGTCTAAATCCACCGACCACGCTAGTTGCTAGTTGCGTGGTGCGCTTAATTTTTAACCACAATGGGAAAGTGAATTTGTGGTCAGCCTCCGAGGCTGCCCAGGCATGGGGTTAATGGGTTATATGCGCTCCACAACACGAATTCTGTTGCAATCATAAAGAAAAAGAAGGAACTGCTATTTTTGGCACGTCGCAGTTGAAATAGCCTTGTAGAAGTCTTAATTTCGATGGATTGTTCCTACTATAGCCATATAATAAAGTAGTCCGATTTAAAACAGCCTTACAGATTTGTTAGCAGTCTAGTCAAGCTTATAGCTGCTGAGTTATGGTCATGATATCTTGAAGAACCAAAAGGTTTTCCTAAAGAAAACTTATTTTTCATTCTTCCTTTCTTCATTCTTTCCTTCATTTAGTGCTATATGATATAGTACTCCGATTAAGTATTCTGATATAGTACTCCGAGTGCAAATTATAAATGCTGTATCTTGGTCAAGATATTTTGAAAAGCATGGGAGCATGGAAAGGTAATTTTCTATAGCTATGATATAGTGCTCCACTCCGGTCGGTTCCAGCAGATGTACTGCCTGCAACAGAAAGACAGATCTATGCAGTTATCTCTAAAACTGAGAGACTAGTTTCCATCTTAACATAAAGGCAGACATACTCAGTTATATATGTATATACTTTATGGTGTCACAGATGTATCATTTTTTTTCATTTTACTTATTTTACTTTTGTGAGTTTAAAAGCTTTTTAAAGTTAATAAACTTTTTTCCTAAACTAAGGGTCTAATTGCAATTTGTACTGAAATTTGTGATCTTGGTAAATTTTACAGCACAAATTAGGATAAATTCCTTAGTAATCTTTCGATTTTAATTCGTTAAAGCATTTGGATTTAAGAGTCTGTCCGTTTTTAAAGATATTAGACCAAATTATCTAAATTAAAAAAATAATGTCGATTAACTCTTGAAACTGCTTTAACTCTAATACTAATTTGGGCTTCATTTTTCTAATCAAATTAAAATAAAATGCCCTTAAATACATTTTTAACGATCAGCTTGACAATATTAAACAATGCATACCTGAAGTTAAAAGATAAATTCATTTAATACGTAAGCTGATCTAGTCTTCATCAAATCTTAATCTTTATGGCATCCATTGGGGAATCTCCATTTAATCGGGTATCTGTTTTATTTGCTGACCTTGGCTAGCCACATCAACCCCACCCAAAAGTTCGCTTATGCTAATCTTCAACTGACACCTCGCAGCCACTTAAAATAGTCATATATCATTCTATGTGAACTCACCAAAAACATTGCGTAGTTGCGAAGACTAAATAATCAAATGTGTGTGTACTTGCAGTTGTGGCGACTCCATTGAAGTGGCTAGTGTGGAGAAGACATAAAGTACAGGGTATCTGCCAAGTAGATTCAATGACAACTCGAATCGACAGCGGAAACGACTTAATTAAGAGTTGCTACCGTTTTATTTTTCTTGAAGCGGCTCGGAACAAAAGGCTTATTTAATTTGCTTGCGAGTTTTTTTCTTTGCATTTAAGTTACAGATTCAAATGTTAATCACAACAAATATGCCAGAGCAGATCAAAAATATATTTTGGTCTAGGCCGTTAAATGTTTGAAAAAAAAAGCTATCATACAATACGCTTAAGACGTAATAGCGCGTAATCTTAGATACTCTAGTTAGTTGGCTTATTGCTTAATTTAAATTAATTTATTCATAATACAGAATATCATATGTAAAATTATAGAAAATAACGAACAACAACAATTGACAACATGTGTAATTAATGACCACATCTGGCTACACCCTAGTCATAACCGTAGGCCCCTCGCTTTATTTGCATTGGATCCTATTTTTTATTTCTATAAAGACGGTGTTAATCATTTGCTTTATGGCCCGCGATGACGTTAATTATATAGTCGTGTGTGTTTAAATATTTATTAGACATAGATATGCGATGAATAGAAAACTTGTTCCGTTTCAGGGCAGCTCTCGAGTTTTGACCTTTAACTAGATTTGTATTCGTTGGCCGGGCAAGTGTTTGGGGTGTTGTAAATAAAAAAAAAATATAATAGGGCTGATATTCAAAAACCGCAGTTCCTAAACTCAAGCAGCTTGTTTTTGAGAAGCGCTCTAACTGAAAGAATGTTTCAAAAAAGATTCGGCTCGTGAAACCTGGTTTGCAACATCTGTGAAACCAGGCTAAGGTGCGAAACTTGGCTTGTCCCATTTCCTGCCATTTCAATGAAACCGTTTAATTTACTGTAAATTCGATTAATTAGTATATTTACATGTTTTTATTTATTTATATTAATTTATTCTTTATATATAGGTCAAATATTTTAACATTTTCAAAGAACCAAAAAATGTAATTTTTTTTTTTTAAAGGGTTCTGTTATTCGTTCGACTGATCTTTATCCAACTAATTAAGGTGCGGTTCGTTGCCATAATAATAATAATATAGTATATTTGGCTGCAGTTTTTAGATGTAAACACACAATCCCAGCCTGTTTTGCACTTTTATTTCAACAATCAATTTTTGCAATTATAATTTGTCTCAAACATAGTTGTTGCGTTTCCTCCAACAAGTCTAGACCTTCTCTTTTCATTCATTCGATGGTCGAAATGTTAACAACTGTCATAACGCACTCGGCTTCTTGTTGGACTGAAGCCCACGCGCGATCCTCTGCGACATTTTTTAACTGTTTGAGAGTGGCTCAATAAATGACTGAGCAGTGTTAGAAAGTGGCTCACTTTCGTTACACTGCACAACAAAGTCACGTTCGTTCACAAGGTACACACTCCACACACTCGCACACAAACAATAAACGATGGAATGCTTGTAATCGAAACTTGAAGATCGAAAAATAAACATGTTAATAATACAATTTTATGATTAATACGAAATGAACTGCAACAACAATAACAACAACAACAACAATAACAACAGCAGCAAACAGGGTAGTCAACATGCAAGCTGCGTTGTAGCGCCGCCAAAGTGCGTGGGTCGTTCCCGCTGATGATGCTGGGAACAACAACAACAACAACAACAACAACGGCAACCGACCCGAACGATCCGCTTATTTATAAATCACGCACATAATGAAATTTCAGCAAGTGGTCGTCGTGTCCAAAAATGCAGCAAACAAGCAGGCAAAATATGCAGCGACGACGATAATGATGATGATGTTGATGATGATGATGATGCCGACGACGCTGGGAATCCGCCGACTGGAACTGGGTGTGCGCTATATAGCGCCATGATATATGCATTATGACCAGGCCAGGCGAGGGCCTGACATGCTGGCGACATAATGATGAACTGGTCGCACATCGGAAGATCTGAAGAACTGGCTACTGACGTGTTACGCATCAGTTTGGTTGTCACTTTGATTGGGGGCGTCAGGAAGTTGAGGGGAGGGGACAACAACACTTGTACGGCATAAGTAGCCATTAATAGGTGCCACATGCACATATCACATTTTAGTTTTTTTGGGGGGGGGCTAGCTTTAACGAGTGTTTTGGTTGTTGTTTTTAATGATTGCAGAGTTCGTGCCAGTTTTATGAGCTCCATTTCTGGGCATTTTGAAAGTGCCCAGACTTTTAAATTTCGTGCTCTGGCCGGGATATGTGTGGAATGTGGCAAGGCTGAACGCATAAAAAGGGTTCAGAGCGTGTGTTCAGTGTAAATGTGGTTTACGAGCAAGGGCAACATTGTTGTTGGGGCCCAGGGTCTCGTTTTCAAAATAAGAGTACATTTTATTGGTCTAACAGAGTAAATGGTGGAGTATGTGAACAGCTATATATTAGCATTAAAAATACCAATAAATACTGCACTTAGCAATTTACAGGTTATGGCCAGATCAGCATGCATATCTAGTAAAAATCTTCGTTATTCCAAAGAAAGCGTAAGTATTCGTTTGCTTGTAACATAACTGTTTGCATTTGAATCACAAGTGTGTTACACAAATTAGCTATCGATCAACTCATAATGTTCGATTTATTTGCTTTTACTAGCACACACATACATACATACGATGAACCGCTCAAAACAAGTTATCAACAATCTGGCAACGCTAGTCTCGCTTTACGCAAATCTGCACGTGGGCGTCTTAGCTTACTCACGCGTCAAAAGAAAAACACAAACGAAGACAAAATGCTATCGACTGCGGCTGCTCTGCTGAACGCGTTTCTCCCAACAACAACAACTACACCACAACACAAACGGCAACAAGTTAACAACAACAGCAACATCATCAGCCAACAACACCGCAGCAGCCAGCAGCAGCAGCAACAACAAAAGCAGCAGCAGCAGCTGAGAACAAAACAAACTGCAATCAGGCAGCAACGACGACTGCAACAACTGTTGCTGCTCACGCTGCTTACAGCGCTGCCGCCGCCGCCGCCGCTGCCGCTGCTTCTAGTGCTGGTGCTTTTGATGTCGCTGTCGCGACTGTTACCCTTCAGTGTGCGTTTGCACGTTGAACACGACGGTACATGTAGCTGAGGTAAACTGTAAACGGTAAATTGGCGCGCGAGCATCAATAAAGACGCGTGCGTTTTCCTGTGCTCGTGATCGTGATCTATGACGGCTTTTAGTGTGGCTCGTTTGTTGTTGTTATTGAAATAATTATTACACAAATAACAACAGAGGCGAACGCCTGTTTAATTGTCACCGCGTCGCATTTTGACAGACGCCGCGGCGTTGCCAGCCCCACCGAGCATCATTTCCATTTCGCCTTCGGTTCGCGTTCTTGTTGTTAATAGCATAAAAGTGTTTTAATTTTTATTAGCACGAACACCGGACGGCCTGCCTCGGCGGACTGCCTACACGACAGCAGCAGCAGCCACAGGTCCCCGTTCAGTTGTTCAGCCGTTGCCATCGCTGGAGGATCGTCCATCGCCAACGTCGTCGTCGTCGCTGTCGCGTGTGCCGTTCCGTTCTAATAAAATCAATCGGGTAGATCTTTTCTTTCGCGTGTGTTGTTTGTGTTTGTGTGCGTGTGTGCCTTCTTGTTTATGTTTGTCGTCTCTTGAAAAGGGTTTTAAAGTTTAATGCATCCGTTTTATTATCGTTTCATATAGTGTGAGGAGCCTTCAATGCGATTTGTTTGATCTTGCAACAGTGCATAAATACAGAAAAAAAAATTCAAATTAAATTAAATAATCCAAAAAGTACATAAAAGAAGTTGGGAAAGTGTGGCAACATCCATAAAACTAACTTAAGTTGTTGTTATACTAAATACCGCGTTGACAGCCGCAAGTGGCAGAAGCTCAAGCAGCTGTCTGATATAAGTACGACCAAGAAGCTGCCACAGAGCTCTGTTGAAAGCCCAAGTGGCCAATCGCAAACAGCGGCAACAACGTTGGCGTGCAACGTCCTTGACATAGAGGTGAGTGTGAAGGCTACAAAAGCGCTGCTAAGTGGGTTAAATGGGGCATTCCTGCTGTCAGCAGAAGCCATGCCCCTGTCATATACGAATGTTAAGTGCAGGCAAAATTTAATTGAATTAAATAACATTTTTGTAAAAAATTTCTAACAAATTTTCCTTAAACGTATATTGGGAAGACATGAAATTGAAGTTATTTAAAGCTTAGTTTTTCCATTAACTTAACTCCATTCATTAAATATAAATATATATTATCTGGGTTCTAAATTTCAATTTCACCAAAAAAATTAAACCTTTTTATGGGGCATTCCTGCTGGCAGCAGAAGCCATGCCCCTGTCATATACAATTGTTAAATGCAGGCAAAATTTAATTGAATTAAATGTAATTTTTGTAAAAGATTTCTAACAAATTTTCCTTGAAGATTGATCTGTTTCCTAAATTTCAATTTCACAAATAATTTAATAAATTTCCTTTGTCCAACGCAACGTATACATTATAAAAATAATATATAAGTGCCCACACATACCATTTCTCTCTGCCTCTTTAATTGAATATATTTTATGCCTTTTCTAGTTTAATTATTCATATTTTGTTAGGCTCACGGATTGCTGCAATTTCAGCCATATTAATTGACCAATTTATGCATATATTTATGCGGCACAAGAAAACTCCATTTCACCGCCTTCATATCTCTTAATAAATCATGCTAATTGTTGTTGTAATTCAAATACTATCGATACATATTAATTAGACACACCCATTTTGGCTATAGGCTGCCGGCCACAACGTTTGCACATTAATCTAGAGATCTGTAGCCTTATCTGCATTGGCGCCATAAATACCAGAGTCTAGTCATAATCTATTAATTACCAGACTTTCCACACATATTAAAAGCAGGTTGAAGTTTATGAGTCGTATATTACAGCATTATTAAAATGTTTTCAGCCTAGCTGAGAACAAATTAAAGTCCGAAAGGAATAAATAATATAATTGTCAGCTATGTTAAAATATGTTAAAGCGTTCACAATTTGTTTGGCATTTCCTATTTTGGTCGTAATTTTTTTCCACTCTGTTTCGCTTGAATGCTGGACATAAGCTGACCATAATCGACCATGTTCCAAGCCTTTTCTGTTGTGCTATGAGATACCACGTGTTTATATAAATACTTCATTAAAAGAATAAAGTAGCGAGCGGCTTTCAGTAAAATTGGGAGTAAATACAATAATGAAGCGCTAAATCGGCTAAACATATACAGTTTTTTGATAATTTAATAATTCAATCAAAAAGTCCTGTAGGCCTTATTTGAATTCATGAGAATCGCATAGTAAGGCGACATTCAAATGTTATATTAACCTGACATGCGTTTGGTATCAGGGAAAATTGACGATATTGTTTATGTACAAATTTTAAATGCCAACCATATTGCGTTCCTCTAAGTTTAAGATCTTCCCCTACCACTTTGTAACCCCTGGACTGGATTTTCGCTAAATCACGTTTAAAATATTCAAAGTTAACAATCAAAAGTTTTTCGCCAATTTTTTGCACATTTGAGGCTCGATGAAACACTCAATTCTTATTTTATAACGAGCAGGTTTTGAAATGAGTTTCAGAAATGATTAGTTCGAGTTAGTCAGTCAGTTTATAATGTATATAGATAATATATTTATTTGATTTCAACATTTGTGACCGTGTGCTGCCGCTGCTGGTTCAGTCAATTCAATTATAAAACGCCCACTGAAAACATTACCATAACAATTTATAACTGCCTCGACGATGTCTCAGTCTTTGGTTAGCTGCTTATTTGATTATTTTGAATATATTACACATTGTGGTTGGCGCTGTATTAAACAGCAGCGGGCCATATATGGCCCGGTAACTGTGGCATTATTAAAACATAAATAATATTTGCTTTTAATGAAATTTCCGCTAGCCAGCATTTGTTCAAGTTATGAGTTTATAAACAAATGCAAATCAACTGGAAAATTGTGGCAACAAATTAGCGCATCATCTGAGGAAAAAGTCGTCGCATTATTTGTTTTGTTGGCTGATTCAGGCCTTAGTCCGAATTAGGTTAACAAATTTTTAATGCTTTGTATTGACTGCATTTCGGCACCAAATCAAATTTGCAATTCAAATCTCAACTCACAGCACATTAAAAAACCCCCAAACTTTTGCTTGAAGCAGCCAGCGACGGCATCAAATGTGATTCAAGTTCGTCTGAAACGAAACATCTTTTTAATGGTTCATCAAAGTAAGTTAATAGCTTTTCTTTTTTTTTTTTGGCTTAATTACAGCTTTAACATATTCTAAACAGTTTTGACAGGTTTTCAAAACACATCGCTTAAGCCATGCATTGTATATTTGGATTTAGGAATTATGGCGCCAATTCAGATGCTTAAAATATCATTTGTAACCAGTTGATGGGACTTTAAGCCCTTAGGCATACATTTTTGCGGTTTGGTGTTAACTGAATTGTAATATTTTTTTTATATTTTGCGCAGAAATGCAAATCGAGAAACAGCTTCAAAAACTTACACTGGGTGTGGCATAGATAAACACGTGATTATATGGCAGCCATATTTGTGACATTTTCTATTGTTATTTATGGCATAATAATTTGTTTGGGCTTTGTTTATTGCTGCTATAGACTTTAGAATGATATGTGATTGTTTACTTTGTATTGAAAAAATTGAATGGCAAGTTAAAATTTGTTAAATTCCTTAGATGTAGGCCCTATTTTTACACCCTTGTAGACTATAATATTAAGATAATACTAAGTAGATTATAATACTAATTTTGTCGTGAAATGGATATATTCCTATATCAGCATCAAGAGGCGTGCTGATATAGCCAATTCCGTCAGTTCCATAGAAAAGATTGTCAAGATATCTTGCCACCGCAAAGATCGATCGAAAATCAGGTCCCCATATGACAAAATATTATGTTTTCCAGGATATTTTCATTAAACTCAGTATTGTCTCACATATATCCATAAGGAAAATGTCTACAAGTGTATTAAAACTTCGTCGTGCCAAAGATATTCTTACTTTCTCAAAAGTGTAGCCTAAATCTCTTGATCGAAAGACATGTTTTAAAGAATATGTTGAACTATATTAAAGGCTCTTTATTATCTCTATATTAAAGGTTCTTTTCTATTGTTGAAGATATCTTGGTCAAACGCAAATAGAATAGTTAATACTACTTATAATTGCTAACTCACAGAAGCATTGATCTACTGTATTATACAGATTTAAATTAAACGCATAGAAAAGTAGATACCTTTATTTCCAATCTGAAGAAGTGTTCGGCTAACAAATCCAATACAAGTTTTCTTATATTTGTAATATGTCATCAACAACGAATTAGTATTTCAAATTTATAGCGAAGCATTTTTTTGCCTTTCTTAATAGTTAAGAAAAAAATTTTAAAAATTTGACACCTTCCGCCTTATTTCCACTGACAAGCAGAGATTTTTGTGTTGGTTTGTTGGTTGTTTGATTGAGCCGCTTGGCAAGCGGCAATTACCATACCAAAAATCAAAAATCAGCACCGTACTCATATCTAGCATATAATTGACAGACCTTTCAATATTATGAAATGAGACTTAAAAAAAAGAGCGTAAAATTCGTTTGTGTAATAGCCGAATTTTCAACTTTTCAGCTGTCAACTACTGCATTTTTCATGAAAAGCCGAATTTCAAATAGATCGACAGTAGAAACAAAAATACATAAACACGGCAATGTCGAAGTCAAGTGCTATTGAACTCGTCGGGATCTTTGTCAGTTTTATATAAAGTATATATATATATATGAATGCCACTCGATTCGCGGCGGAAGTTATACAAAAATCTATTATGCGCGTGCCATAATGAAACCAATTTATCAGGCGAAGGCGACTTAAAATGAGTTCAGTTTGGCATTTTTCTCAATTAAAGCGAACGAGGCCTGAAAATATAAATATAAAAAAAAATGGTATATTAGACAAAAGCCAAAGAAAGTTTATTTTACAGCAAATGAAAATCCGTTGAAGAATTTCCCTAAGCGTCTTAGTTGGGTCTCTCTGGGGCCGGGTCCACAGATGCGTAGGCGCCGACGTCGTTTCTTTCCGTGTCAAACCAGCAACTGACAGCAGGTTTGCCAGTGCTTCGAGCTGCAGTTGGAGTTGGACTTGGAGGCTGGAGCTGGCGTTGAAGTTGAAGTTGGGAGCCGCAGCTGAGTTTGAGTTTTCGGCTGAGCATTTAAACGCGGCTGATTTGATTTCAGTGACACGACGCCCGGGGCGACGACGACGACGACGCCGCCGCGAAACTTGTCCTACCCACACGCGACAGCGCCAAAGTTGCAGAAGCAGCGGCGCATGCGCAGTAGCCAGCGATCGCTTTATTTTTGTTGTTTTCCTTTTTGTTCAATTTTTTTATTTTTTTTTTTGCGCGCGCGCTGTTTTCATCGCCCTGGGGGACAGGGTACATGATGTTGCATGCTAGCGAGCGATGCAACAGTCAAAATATTTGAATTTCTAATGCTATACGAGGGTTCTTCCAGGTTTTATTTAATGCAGATGACTCATGCACATGTTAGTGTAGTTTGTTGCGCCCACAAAACGGTTTATAAATTTATATTGAAAACCATAAATTTGAGTTCAAGTTTTTCGAGTCTTCGAGCAAGTAAATTAGCTGAAAGTTTTATAAGTAATACGTTCCTTTAGAGAAGTTGAATTGGATAGAACAGTTTGTTCAGTAACTGTTTGGGAATTATAGCTCATAGCTTTTTTTTCAGTTTTATCTATTTTATGGCTTAGTTTTGGGACTTTTATAGATATCATCCAACTTGTTAAGGCCATGTTCAAAGATCTTTTCTAAGAGTATATGAATATTTTTCTAAAATTTATTTGTTTATGTATTTAGATTACGTAACTTTGGCAACAGCCCTCTATCGTATGTCCAGTTCGGGCTCGCTTGGGGTGTCAGCCAGTTAATATACAATCTGATAGAATATCTTTTCCGATAAGCATCAAATTTCCACTGATGATAAACAGGGTACGCCTTTTGTCATGATGCCGACAAACTTGTTCGAACGATTTAAAGACGAAAGATTTAACCCGGGCCCTGGTGGGTGACAGTTTGTGCTGTGGTCGTCATTTGCGGCTTCCGTGTGCATTTGACTCTGCTTAATGAAATGTCAATCAATGTATATACGTATATATATCTCTATACATGTATATATAAACCGCAGCATGATTGTTTTTGATTTGTGCGCTTTATTAACCTGATGCGGCGGCGTCTCTCTGGCGACGCGCTGTCATTTATTGGAGACTTTTTGGACTTATGCTGACTGCGTGGGCGCTGGACAGAGATCTATGTTCGGAGCACCTAGATCTATGGGAAGGCATTAAAAAGTATTTAATAAATTTTGGACCGAGGATTATGAGTTTACTGCTCGTTTCGAGTTGGTGTCGCTTTTTTGATTTGACTGCCGTTGACTGTAGATTGTCGGGGCGGGGGATTATTTGGTTAGACATTTGGTGGGAAATGTTCTTTGCGTATGCGGTCAAACAGTCGGTAGCAGCCTCGACTGTCTATTTATACGTTTCAATGAACACCTGAAGAGCTTTACGCCGTGCGCATGACCTGAGTTCTAGGGAACCCGTCAAAACTTGGCACTGAGCGGCAGATCTAATCCTGTCATCAAGCCTTAATACTAAGGAAATTCTTTGGTACGAGTGAGATGCTTAATCTTAAGAAATGCTAAAGAGCTTATTTTCTGATTGGTAAAGATAATTTATCTTGATATCATACGCAACGAAATGGTTTAGAGGTCTTAGTTAATTGTTTTGTCGACTAACATATTTATTTTATAGAGATTTAATAATATATTTTTGTTGTGATCTATCAGAAATACTCATGGCTAACATTTCATTGACCTTTTCCTTTTTTTTGGCTAACTATAAATTCTTTTATTATTTGACTTTGATACACGCTCCCAATATTCTCCCGTTAGATTTATGAACATTTTAAGCAAATAATACCTAATTTAAATCCAATAATCCAAAGCAAAGAGTAATCAATTAAAAACTAAAGATTTATGACAATATATGCTATAAATGGCAAGATTTATTTCTTTTTAGAAATTTAAGGAACGTTTCTGAATAGAGCATTTTTCGCGTGTAATCTTTGTGTAAGCCAAATCATCATAAATCTCATATTTAATGCATTTGCCGAACTTGCCCTACATTTTGACTGCAATGACAGAATCTTCATTCCGATCATTTTCTTGCTAATTTATTTTATTATCGTTACAAGCTCCAGCTGAGTACGTACATAATCGCAAGTCTCAATAAACCCTGTCAAATGCCACATAAAAACCTTAAACTACTTTAAAAAGCTCTCAGTTAAAGTGGCTGGCGGAAGGCAGCTACTTTTACTACACCTCAGCCAGTAAAGTCTGTTGTAACTCTGGCAATTGCGATTTCGACCATAAATGGCACATGTTTTGCGCCTCTCGGGCTCTGACTCAGTGACATTGTTGCGAGCGTGTCGAAAACTGGCCAGAACCGCTAGAGAAGTGTGAGAGAAGAGAGAGAACATAGAGCCCAGAGATCGGCAGCGAAGTCACAGCGCAACAGTCTAACTGCCACTATAAATCCATAACTGTCACTCACACGTTTTTGGACCCGTATTGGCAGAAGCGTATCTCTTGTAAGGCCATAACGACATTTTCTGTTGACTCGACCGTTACCACATTCCTGGGACACCTTTGAGCCAAGTTAAGCGAGCCAAGATGCTGTCTAGATCGCTTAGCCAACAGCTTGCTCACATTTCCAATGTGTGTTTAAGCATGAATATTGTCTGCAGAAAGAAGACTACGATTTATATCTATTCCATTTCAATATGTTATATGGATTGTAGTTTATCACACGTTGAAATTGTTTTTAACAGCCTGATAATCCACATTCTTTTTACACCCTGCAGCCATTAGAAGGGAGAGGAAGGGTATAAAGCATTCTTATCTTATTATCTTATTCTTATGCATTTATATTTTTTACCAGGACGATAAGCTGGGTTTATTCAAGCCATGCCCATCTGTCTGTCCACGTCGATCTCGATCTGGCTCAAGACTCGAGTTTAAGATATATTTATTTTCTAACTTTCATAATATCGATATATATATCGATTTTGAGATATGGTCCTTGCTATGAAGTTTATTATATATGCATTAACTGATTTTAAATATTTCACCCCGAAGAGTATTGCGCTTTGTCTAATTTAAGTGCTAAAAATTTCATAAAGATCGGACTTTAAGCACCGAAGGTAATGAAGAATGCATTTCCTATACACAGCATGGAGCAAAGAGCTGTAGAAGCACAGTTGCCTTATATATGCCTGTTTTTGACTATGTGTGACTAGAAGGAAGCTAGAATATTTGTAAGGGCAGCTTGGCGCTGGGTATCTCTTAGTCGTGCATTCCCAGCTAGAGCATTCTTTCTTGCTGCGATCGCTGCTAGTTTAATGCCAATTAATGCGTACTTATTTACACAAAATATATATTCTTTTTAAACTCTTTCGTTGATCGTTAAATTTTATGTGTGTTTTTCGGCAATTTATTAGTGAGGAAAATTGTTGCTCCCAGGAGTTATAGAGTTGTGGCACTCTAGTCTTTGATCACTTGAAGATTTCAGCGCTCGACAACAAATTACTTCAATTGACGGTAGCACATGTCGGCATGGGGTTAATTTATGAAGCGCAGAAGCAGAAGAGTGTGGAGAAAGTGCTGGGAATGTGGTAATAGAGCAATAAGATAAACAGTTGGCATGTTAGTAGCCGGATTTATGGCTTGTAATTGAAATTTGCTGGCTACGCAGACAGATGAACTAATACATGGCTAGTTTGCAAGATATTGAGGATATAGTATTCATGGCAAATTGATAATAGATTTTTAAAGGTTTATTTAAAAATAACCCTTGTTCGGACTTTGATTAATTTCTTATGTGCGTCTATATATAGAAAAAGAAAACTTTATTCAATCTATTCGAAATCAATTTTCATATTGAAATAATTCATATTGGTATAAATACATACTCCGCCAACTATATTGACGAATATAAAAAGTTATTGTTAAATATGTATTTAAACTTATATTTCTTTACAATTTGTAAAATAAAATAATAAATATTAAAAGCATTTTCTATCGTCCTAAAAACCAAAACCTTTCGAATTGTCCGCCTGTGTATTTTTATGTTTTAATGTAGCAGCTGCTTAAAGTATTATTCTGGTATATTTCATTAAAATTAAAAGAGAAAATGAGAAATCCCACATAAGATTCGAATTCAAATCTGCTTCAAAAGTCTAAAAGTGCCACAAAACAAATCCCCACCTTTTTCATAAAGTTTTTTACCCAGCTTCCGCTGGGCACACACCTGAACAAGCACACCGACGCGAGAAATAGAATAGAAGAAACAAAATGCCAAAAACACATCAACTAAACATTTATTTAGCTAACTCGAGCCGACGAAAGAATGATTGCAAAAATCCAACATAAATCTCGGCCAACTCAAAACCAATAGAAGTGGCTAGGAGAAAAAAGAAATAAAAAAACTAAAGCAGCAAATGCTTTATTATTACGCCCACAGATAGCCGCACAGATGAAAGATATATATATAAAGATATATAGATACACACATGTGTGTGCCTAGGTGATAGCGGAGCAACACTTCCGGCACGAAATCAGAGCGGGCCGTGGACATTTTTAACGATAAATGCCTGCTGAAAATCTCAAAAATGCCGCAAACATTTTATCAAATGAAAAAAAAAATTCGACTCTTTTTTCTACACATAAAAACAATTTGAATTTTAATTTAAATTTTATTTATTATTTTTATGCGCTTTAATGGGGCAATCGCAATGCATTTTATGAGGCCTTTTATTTTTAAACGCAAATAAACAACCACCGACTGAGTTCCACGCTTTCTGCTTCTTCTTTTCCTGCAGCGGACGAACGCACAAATCAGCCCAGAGTGAAGTGGAAGACGACATCATCGGACGATGAATTGGACGCGCGTGTTGCTAATCGGCCTGGTGGCCGTCTTGGCGCTGGCACTTGTGGAGGTTGCATCACTCTCACTGGATCCAGGTAGGTGCCGAGGTGCCACTCGCTGCCCGAGTTGATTCACTATGTTTACCGTTGTATTTATGGGCAAACATGCGCGATAAAGGCAGGCAAATATTAGCCGAACTGTTCGGACATCGCCCAAAAACCCAACTCACAAACAGCGATTTATGTAAATCGAGACAACAACAAAATCAAATGCCCATGCAGGCATCAAAACGCTGTCAGTTGTTGCAGTTGTCGTTGTTGTTGTTGTTGCAGTTGTCGTTGTTGTTGTTGTTGCAGTTGCACACATGCAGTCGACCTCAGTGCACCATAAATGGCGTTGGCGTTGCCCGATCACGAGCTGACCACGTTGCAATTGCAATTCCGATCGCCTTGTGGAGCGTCGAGTGTGGCACGATATCGTGAAGGTCACCTCGCCTGGGCTGTGTCAGAGCTCTGCTCTCCATATGCTCCCACACATGACAAATCGCTGCACAAATGCGTGAGGTTCTACGTCTGTGCCTGGTCTGAAGTCTCTTGATAAATTCCATTTGACGGCTTTACATATTTGGATTGTGCAAAGACACGGAGCTCTTTCCACTTTTCACTTTAGTTTTCTGCTTTTCATTTTGGTTTAACATGCGAACGGGATTATTATGACCAAAATAAACACCGCCAAGTGTTGTAATCTCTGCCAGGCGCGAAAACCGATTGCCGCTGTGTCAGCTGCCGAGCAAACCGAGCAAGTGCCGCAACATTTGTGCCGAGGATTAGCCAACATGGTCAGAGGCATTGTTTGATTAGTCTTTTGGGGCTTGTATGTTATATTGTGTTGATCTTGTAATCGATATGCGTTGTGCTATCACTAGCGAAACGGAAGTTTATCTAGGCTAGCCGTGCCACAAACTTATATTTACAAAGTGTGAGAATTGATCCGGAAAAGATTAATAATAGATAAAAAGAAAATACCAATAATGAAAGACTATAGACAAAATATAGCTGAGTATTTGCCCTTATTTATAAAAAAAACATGTCTATATCCGAATCTTGGGGTAAGATTTGGACATGAATTTCGACTAAAAAATCGCTGTTCATATTTTAATGCCAGATTATTCTAGAAAGAAAACCATGAAGAAAAATCCAAACTTCGTGAAAATCGGATGAGATTTGACCGAGTTATGGGGGTGGTAAATTTTGACCCATGTCTATATACGAATCTTGGGGTAAGATTTGGACATGAATTTCGACTAAAAAATCGCTGTTCATGTTTGAATGCCAGATTATTCTAGAGGGAAACCCATGAAGAAAAAGCCAAACTTCATGAAAATCGGATGAGATTTGACCGAGTTATGGGGGTGGTAAATTTTGACCCATGTCTATATACGAATCTTGGGGTAAGATTTGGACATGAATTTCGACTCAAAAATCGCTGTTCATATTTGAATGCCAGATTATTCTAGAGGGAAAACCATGAAGAAAAAGCCAAACTTCATGAAAATCGGATGAGATTTGGCCGAGATATGGGGGTGGTAAATGTTGACCCATGTCTATATACGAATCTTGGGGTAAGATTTGGACATGAATTTCGACTAAAAAATCGCTGTTCATATTTGAATGCCAGATTATTCTAGAGGGAAAACCATGAAGAAAACGCCAAACTTCATGAAAATCGGATGAGATTTGACCGAGTTATGGGGGTGGTAAATTTTGACCCATGTCTATATACGAATCTTGGGGTAAGATTTGGACATGAATTTCGACTAAAAAATCGGTGTTCATATTTTAATGCCAGATTATTCTAGAGGGAAAACCATGAAGAAAAAGCCAAACTTCATGAAAATCGCATGAGATTTGACCGAGTTATGGGGGTGGTAAATTTTGACCCATGTCTATATACGAATCTTGGGGTAAGATTTGGACATGAATTTCGACTAAAAAATCGGTGTTCATATTTTAATGCCAGATTATTCTAGAGGGAAAACCATGAAGAAAAAGCCAAATTTCATGAAAATCGGATGAGATTTGACCGAGTTATGGGGGTGGTAAATTTTGACCCATGTCTATATACGAATCTTGGGGTAAGATTTGGACATGAATTTCGACTAAAAAATCGGTGTTCATATTTTAATGCCAGATTATTCTAGAGGGAAAACCATGAAGAAAAAACCAAACTTTGTGAAAATCGGATGAGATTTGGGGGTGGTAAATTTTGACCCATGTCTAGATACGAATCTTGGGGTAAGATTTGGACATGAATTTCGACTAAAAATCGCTGTTCATATTTTAATGCCAGATTATTCTAGAGGGAAAACCATGAAGAAAACGCCAAACTTCATGAAAATCGGATGAGATTTGACCGAGTTATGGGGGTGGTAAATTTTGACCCATGTCTATATACGAATCTTGGGGTAAGATTTGGACATGAATTTCGACTAAAAAATCGCTGTTCATATTTGAATGCCAGATTATTCTAGAGGGAAAACCATGAAGAAAAAGCCAAACTTCATGAAAATCGGATGAGATTTGACCGAGTTATGGGGGTGGTAAATTTTGACCCATGTCTATATACGAATGTTGGGGTAAGATTTGGACATGAATTTCGACTAAAAAATCGGTGTTCATATTTAAATGCCAGATTATTCTAGAGGGAAAACCATGAAGAAAAAGCCAAACTTCATGAAAATCGGATGAGATTTGACCAAGTTATGGGGGTGGTAAATTTTGACCCATGTCTATATACGAATCTTGGGGTAAGATTTGGACATGAATTTCGACTAAAAAATCGGTGTTCATATTTTAATGCCAGATTATTCTAGAGGGAAAACCATGAAGAAAAAGCCAAACTTCATGAAAATCGGATGAGATTTGACCGAGTTATGGGGGTGGTTAATTTTGACCCATGTCTATATACGAATCTTGGGGTAAGATTTCGACATGAATTTCGACTAAAAAATCGCTGTTGATATTTTAATGCCAGATTATTCTAGAGGGAAAACCATGAAGAAAAATCCAAACTTCATGAAAATCGGATGAGATTTGACCGAGTTATGGGGGTGGTAAATTTTGACCCATGTCTATATACGAATCTTGGGGTAAGATTTGGACATGAATTTCGACTAAAAAATCGCTGTTCATGTTTGAATGCCAGATTATTCTAGGGGGAAAACCATGAAGAAAAAGCCAAACTTCATGAAAATCGGATGAGATTTGACCGAGTTATGGGGGTGGTAAATTTTGACCCATGTCTATATACGAATCTTGGGGTAAGATTTGGACATGAATTTCGACTAAAAAATCGGTGTTCATATTTTAATGCCAGATTATTCTAGAGGGAAAACCATGAAGAAAAAGCCAAACTTCATGAAAATCGGATGAGATTTGACCGAGTTATGGGGGTGGTAAATTTTGACCCATGTCTATATACGAATCTTGGGGTAAGATTTGGACATGAATTTCGACTAAAAAGTCGGTGTTCATATTTTAATGCCAGATTATTCTAGAGGGAAAACCATGAAGAAAAAACCAAACTTCGTGAAAATCGGATGAGATTTGGCCGAGATATGGGGGTGGTAAATTTTGACCCATGTCTAGATACGAATCTTGGGGTAAGATTTGGACATGAATTTCGACTAAAAAATCGCTGTTCATATTTTAATGCCAGATTATTCTAGAGGGAAAACCATGAAGAAAAAGCCAAACTTCATGAAAATCGGATGAGATTTGACCGAGTTATGGGGGTGGTAAATTTTGACCCATGTCTATATACGAATCTTGGGGTAAGATTTGGACATGAATTTCGACTAAAAAATCGCTGTTCATGTTTGAATGCCAGATTATTCTAGAGGGAAAACCATGAAGAAAAAGCCAAACTTCATGAAAATCGGATGAGATTTGACCGAGTTATGGGGGTGGTAAATTTTGACCCATGTCTATATACGAATCTTGGGGTAAGATTTGGACATGAATTTCGACTAAAAAATCGCTGTTCATGTTTGAATGCCAGATTATTCTAGAGGGAAAACCATGAAGAAAAATCCAAACTTCATGAAAATCGGATGAGATTTGACCGAGTTATGGGGGTGGTAAATTTTTACCCATGTCTATATACGAATCTTGGGGTAAGATTTGGACATGAATTTCGACTAAAAAATCGCTGTTCATGTTTGAATGCCAGATTATTCTAGAGGGAAAACCATGAAGAAAAAGCCAAACTTCATGAAAATCGGATGAGATTTGACCGAGTTATGGGGGTGGTAAATTTTGACCCATGTCTAGATACGAATCTTGGGGTAAGATTTGGACATAAATTTCGACTAAAAAATAGGTGTTCAGATTTGAATGCTAGATTAATCTAGAGGGAAAACCATGAAGAAAAATCGTATATCATATATATATTCTATTTTAGAAGCTATATGTCAAGTTTGGTGACTCTAGTTCTTATTATTTACCAAAATTGCCCAAAAAACAGGATATCGATATCATTTTTATCGATTATTTGGAAACGGAGGAAGTTATCGATTATCGGAAGCAAACTCGATCTGCGCGGGAGCTAGGAGCATCTACATCTAAAATTTCAAGCCTCTAGCTCTTATAGATTCTGAGATCCTTGCGTTCATACATACGGACGGACGGACGGATAGACAGACGGACATGGCTAGGTAGAATCAGCTATTTACGCTGATCAAGAATATATATACTTTATGGGGTCGGAGTTGCTTCCTTCTACCTGTTACATACATTTAGCCTTCGCACAAATACCTTATACCCATTTTAATTGGGTTCAGGGTATAAAATCTAATATTCTGAAGAGATTTATAGAGATTGTCCAAGTAAACAATCAATTATATAACGAATTACATTTCGTAAGGATTTTGAGATACAAGACTTACATAAATAATATACACTTGACCTCGGAAAAAACCTATATTACTTATACGGTACTCATTTTATTTTTCGCCCACAGTTGCTTCTGCTGAGCTGGAACAGTTTATCAGGAAAGGAGATGTGGTCATTTCCACGCGTCACATAAGGTAAATAAACAGACCTTGAAGTGTTGAGCACATGCTCAAGCCGGTTGTGGCACATCTAAACGACATTCCCATGTTTTACAGACCGCGACGCAAGCTGCATATATCCATTGAGGCGCTGTTCATGATCGACTTTCCCATGCTGAAGCATAAGATGTCCTTCTTCCTGGACCGCAAGCAGCAGCGCGTTACGCTGGACATTAGCGCCAATGGAGCGACAGAGTCACGCAACTTTGAGATACCCAACATAAATGAGACGAGCACCATACGATCGTTGGCCCTGCAGTTCTCGAAGAATCGCATTACACTCCATGTGGACTGCAAGCCGAGCACTTTCCATGACATTGACATGAGCCTGTCCAAGCTGTACACCCAAATGGATGATCCAGTGATTAAGCTGGTAAGTGTTGAGTCAATCCGTTGCTGAGTCAATTGGTGAAATAATTTTGATTTAATATATTTACAGTTCAGGGAACGCAAATATCCACTGCACTTTGATGCAGACATGGAACACTCGCTGCAGCGTGCCAACTGTCAAAAGGGTCTCCATCGTCGGGGCAATCGACGCATGCTGCGGAACAAGATTTCCGAGCGTGGTAAGTTATCGGTCAGACAGTCTGTGCCCAGTAGGATGTTCTAAACAGCCCACTTTTCTCTCGTCTGCCAATCTTACAGAGAAGAACAGGAAACGCGATTTGCGCAGCAATTGGTACCATGAGCCAACCCTGGCCCGGGACGGCGTCGACCAGCGTCAGCAGGAAATACCTACGGATGTGGAGCGTGGCGATATACCCATCATGCATGGCGATTGTGAAGGTAGGTAACAGCTCGCCATCTTTCTATCAATCATACTTATCGTAAAACAGTCGACGACATTTCTCGTTTTTGGGCGTGGTTCGCATTCTGACAAGATTTCAGTGGGTATTCTACGACATTTTTGGGTGGAACGGTGGGTTCTATAAGGCGTAGCCTTTAAATAATATTTGCATAGATGTTGTGCCTGATGAAATTATTAGCCTAAAACAGTTGGCGTTCATGTCAGTCAAGGTAAATAATTCAATTATGCTGAAATGGAAAACGCTTCTAGTTTGTCAGACAGAACTTCTGTAAGGTGGAATTACGATAATTAAATAACTGTTGAAAAAGTCAATGCTAGGGTTTTATGTATATTATTGAGAAACTAGGCTAGCTTTAAGCCTTCACTTCCCAGTGTGAACATATTCATAAACTTAATTCAGTTAAGCTCATTAATAATATTCTCTATTTGCCCTTGCTGTTGGTTGAAAACTCAGTTTCTTGCATACCCAGTGCAATAACTGTCTTAATGTGATAATGCCTTACAAATCTGCAGCCAATTAATTACAGTCGATATATACGTGCATAAGTCTTATTTATGTAAGTACCCACATTCGGAACTGGCAATAAGTCGCCGCTAAGTGCCAGCGAAAACCAGCGAGAAGCAGCGCCCACAGAAAAGACAACACTAATGAACCCAAAGATATGCCAAAGCCGATCCAAAGCCCGTGCAAAACTAGTGCTGAGTGCTGTTTGGTCGATGTCGATCCAGCATAATTATTATTTATCTAGCTCAGCGCAAAACGCCAAATTGGTAGCACGCTCTGTACCCACACAGAGACCAGAGACAGGGAAAGACACGCGGCAGGCAACTGGGCGGCATATAAATCGCAAAGGCAAACGTAATGAATGACGCCGACGTGGCTTATAGAAACGAAGGTTGCACACCAAAACCCAAACGTAACCAAAACAAGATCACAGATCGAGCGAGCGAGCCCCGAACCCAACCCCTGCATTCATGGCCCGAACGGATGCGTTTGGGCGTTGAGGCGGTGGCGGCGTTTTCAATGTTGACAAAACTCACTCAAGCACAGAGACAGACAGGCAATCGGACGGACGAAACCATCTACAGACAGTTGGAACCGATGGAACATTGGACTAGTTTAGTTGTTGCCATGTGTCTAACATGGCGTCATACAACATATGAGATTTAGAGATGAGCTTGCAGTTTATTGGGCTGCTTTTCCAAGAGGATAAGATAGAAGTTTGACAAATAACAGTGCAGATTTTATTGTGAGCAGCCTGTCACTGTGATTTCGAGCTACTGTCATGCTCAAGTCGCAATATTTGATACATCATTTCGAGAGAGTGCGATTAAAATCCAAAGTGACTCAGAGATTGGCTTATTTTTTTTTTATCAAAATACAAATAATATACAGGTCTGTAAGGTAGTTTGGTTGTTGTTTTGCGACATTGTAATTCAGAATTCAAAAATAATTTTATCAATGCATAGATTTGCCTTGCAGTGCGGTTCAGGCAGGAGGGTAGCTATAAAAAAGTGAACTTAAATTAATTCCGTGATAACAAGGAACGTGACTGGGATGAGGTCGTGACTGTGACTCTATACTGTGACTGTGATTCCATGTGTATGGAAGCATCTCTGAATGCGCTTAGATCGAATTGGGTGCTCAGCTCTGTTGTCGCATTGCATTAAACTGCGCTAAAACGCGCCGCATTAGCAGCTGGATATTGAGGCCCAGTCGCTGGGTCCGGGCTTAGACCCGTCCAAGCGACAAAGCGGATTAGGTTGCAATCAGGGAAGCCGGGCAGAAACACACACATGTTTCACGGGGCAATTGTGTGTGTGTGTGTGTTTGTGTGGTGGCAGAGTGCGCTCAAAATGAGTGCGATTTTAGCATTGGTTAGGCCTTAATCTTGTCAGATGCCCGAACGCTTCCCACACACTGCACACACACGCCGGTGCGAGTACGCAGCGGCTCATGAATTATTGTTGCTTTATTTAAAGTCTTATTTTATATGGTTTTCTGCGCGTTTTGTGCTCATTGTTGCAGACGCCCTCGCACGATCGCTGAGCGATCTTCTGGCATTGGTTAAGCTGCTGCGCGAAGATGTCGCCCACCAGCGTCAGGAGATTGCCTACTTGCGCATGCTTTTGGAGAACTGTGCGGGCTGCAAGGAGCCCAGCGGAGACAATCATATACGCCTCGAGCCCAATTGCCGCACTGCGAATCCTTGTTATCCTGGTAAGTGACCCGTGACTCATATTCATTGCGAAACACACCCAGCTCACAACCGAACCCAGCTCAAACTTCATCTTAATTCTCTTCATCTTGCTGCCCACAGGCGTTGATTGCCACGAGACCGCCTCGGGACCCAGGTGCGGCCGTTGTCCTGCTGGCTTCATTGGCGATGGCAAAGTCTGCAAGCCGGGCGTCAGCTGCGCGGACAGGCCCTGTTTTCTGTAAGTGCCTAGTGCGAACAAATTAACTTCAAGCTTATTTTTTGTTGTTGTAGCTTTTATGTTTTTATACATATATATATGTATATATACTATATACCACAACGTTAATGGCGTCAGGGGCGTGGCCAGTGCATCCATGTTAATTGTATTTGTCATGCTGTTGCCTTGATGCAGTTGGACGCCCGACGCATGAAAGGCGCCGCTGCCTCACGCAAAATGTCGCTCAGGGCATTCGCCAAGGGTTTCTCTCACTGAGTCTGCAATTATTTGCATATGGCCTTAATGGCAATTTGATGTTGTTTATGGCTTAATGATGCAGTCAAGCGACTCTTCCCTGCCACTTTAGACAGCTGAAGCCTTTTCTATCTATGATTGATAAGTGTTGCCCATTGAGATTTCAATTCTGCAAGCCATGTCGATTGAAGAAGCATCAGCATGCTGATTAGTGAACGAAAAAGAGCATGGAGATTGTCATTGGCCACAGTAGATTCTCCTTTTTGATTATAGTCCTAAGGCCATTAGTTATGTTCAGCTTCCATTCAGTCGGTTATCCTTGTGACAAGTGCTTAGATCTCGGAGTCTCGATATGCCAATCCAAATGTGCAAAATGCCTAATCCCTTGTCGGCTTAAGATAAAATCTGGCTACTCCACTTAGCACTTAGTCATTCAAGTTTATTGCCTTACGAATAAATCGGCTTTGCAGCTTTTTAAAAATCAGCTTTAATAGTGACATGCAAGAGCTTAGACTAGCCAAGTTTGTTATTCAAGATCTTTATAAAATGAAGAACTCTGCAAACAATGATTGTTACTGTTGTCTACTGGATTATTTTAAGTCACAACATCTAGTTGATTCCCATACAGAATTAAGCAGTTATATAAATTCTAAAACTATTTTTTGTTGGGATCTGATTTACAAACTTTATCTAGGTCTATTAATCTATTTGCTAATCCATTTGCTGAGAAGCCAAAACAAGAATGAACTTATTTATAAGAAGGGATAGGGCCGAGTGATAGCGAGAGAGACAGGGAAGATGACTTAGAAGGACACTATAAAGTGCGGCAAAGAGGTGGATAGACAGAGAGAGATAGTGAAGTAAAAAAGGGGAAAAGGAGAGAGTGGAGAGAGGAAGAGAGAAAGAGACGAAGATTTGCAAATCAACAAATAATGGACAATTTTTCAAGGGAAAATTCTAATTGTTATAAACCTTGCCTGTCCGCATATAAATGAACATAGTTTCTTCTAATGAAGATTACAGACAGATATAATTAATATGAGAAGAAAAACAAAAACCAAAGGTTTTACTCACATTAAAGCTGCTTAGAAGTGCGATTGGTTTCAAATAGAAAAATATGCACTTAACATAAGTCACCTGCTGATATCTAAGGTACTTAAGAGCGCAGCTGGAACTAGCCCAGCGCAGCCTTAAAGGCATCAAAAGTAGCCTACACATATTGCATTTGGCGGAACCTAGTCGTTAAACCACCCACAGCACATATAGAGTTTTGTTTGGGTACCGGAAGAAAGGGCCACGGGTGAAAGGAGATCAAGTTCTGGTTTGGCTTTGTAACTGGGCCCATTTATGTCAGACTCGAGCAACTAATTATGCATAAGACCCACAGCAATGTCAGTGTATATTGGACTAATAAAAACATAAATTCTAGAAGTTCGAAATTGAGAATAGACATGTCATAAATATGTTAAACAAAACGCATAACATGCCATAACGGAACGGAACGGGGAATATTTTGTAGAAATTCCTAAACAAAATGCAACAAAACCTTTGCAATAATACAAAGGGAATAAAGTAGAAGATGGTAAGCTGTGAGGTCTGGACCACAAATGGCACTTGAAACTGCCGCATAAATTAGTTAAATGTTGTGCAGGCAACCCGCACAGATATATACGCAAACCATTGAGACAGAGAAGCGAGAACCGAGAACTGAGAACTGAGAACTGACTGACTTCATTGTGTCAAAACACTTAAAGTGATTTCGGTCTCTGGGCTCGACTTGAAATGTGAGACCCCTAACTGTAGCAACAACCGACAAGTGAGCGCCTGGCCACGCGCGCCGAGGAAGCAGCTGAAGACCATAAATTTGTTTAAATTATTGGAAACGGGCCCGGACGGGCCACAATCTCTGCTGTATTATTGTAGGTGTCTAGGCCAGAAGGGATCGCTCTCCCTTTGGAAGGTGCGCCCTCGGCTGACCGTATTTTAATTTGCATAAAATTGTTTTAAATGTTGTCAGCATTGTCGGGCAACGCCGCCGACTCGTTACTGTCATCTTTCATTATCGATGAAATGTGGCCAATGTGTGTGGTAAACACGGCCACAACTCTTGACCATGATTTGAATTTAGAACCCACGAAAGGTTTCTCGTACCGGCGTCAGAGTTAAACATGGCCAACGCTTTGTTTGCCTGACTTTTGATCAGAGTTTCGTATGTTCAAATCAATTCTATTAAAAAGCCATAAAACTTGCGCTAATGACATGCACACCTGTTGATCCTTTGTTGTCCGCTGCTATCACGGCGTTATATAAGTTCTTGGCCCATTGTGTTTAAATTGTTAATGAACTTTTTATTGTTGCTCATCTTTGGGGATGTTCTACATTGTTAATTTGTTGGGCAATGCATTAAAGATTCCATAAGGAATAAACTAAGCGGCGAGTACTTTAGTTATTTGTGATATTATAAATGAATTCCCATCTATAAACTATCATTTTTTCATATTTCATATTTTTAAATATTGGTAGAGGAATATCGCGGTACAAGGGGAAAGGGAAAAAATCTTCTGTAATAATGAATCAATTTTAAATTATATATTCCGGTAGGCTCAATGATAAATATCGAAATTTCTTAGAACTTACTTCCTGTTTGAACGGTAGGATCTGACCAAGATCCATTTTGAGCTTTATTCGCTCCATTTGGTGATTCTTCTAATGCTCTTTGGTCTTGTGCAAGTTTTTTGTGAGGAAATAAAGCGATAATAAGGCAATGAATTAGGGTTTGAATGAGTATAATGTATCCTGTTAGGTGGATGGTACTTTATATTAATATTTAATTAATATTATAAGACGGCTAGTTCCTTTCCTTCCAAGATATGTTTGTGTGTGTTCGGAAACCTGGCAGCTGAATATTTCTTTACTTAAAATATATTTAAATAGTTTATTTGAAGTGTTATGGAGATTTTTGCTGAAAGCATTTGTAATTAACCTTTTATAAAAAGTTCTTTAACTCAATTATAGGCTAAGGTTCAGGGCTTATTAAAACAGTGCATTCAGACTTAGCTGTATGAAAGGCACTTTCCATTTCCAACAGCAGACTGATCTACTAAAACTTATTGAGCAGAGCCTAATTTGAAAACCCAATCATAGTTAAGCCTGCAGCCACAAGAGTTTCACTGCCTTTCAACGCACAATTTTCTGTGGCTGTTGTTCAATTTAAATTATGCGCATGATGAAATAATCAGCAATGCAATCAGGCTGCAGTCAAGAGAGATTATGTTACTCAGCTTAGCTGCAGATTGAGATTTAGATAGAGATTCCGATTTCGATTCCGATTCCGAATCCGATTCCAGCTGCAACATGTGTTGTGAACAATTCCAAAACAGAATTCCATTTGATTATGGCAACAACTTTCCCACAGATTCTTTGGGGCCGGGTCGAAACAAAACGTTTACACAGCCTGGTAAAAGCAGTGCGACAGAGTCAGCAATATTGAGTAAGAAAGAGAGAGATGGAGAGTGAGAGAGGGAGAGGTGAGATGGGGCTGCGTTCACAGCAACATCAAAGTTCGGTGGAACGCATATCTCAGCCGCGAATCGAGTTCGCCTACGCACCAAAAAAGCAACAGCCGTGCCGCAAAAGTGGAGCCATTGATTCCAAGTTGACGTTGTCGTTGTTGTTGTTGTTGTTGTTGCTGTTGTTGTTGCTGTTGACTGTGTCGCCGTGGACTGAGGCAGCGTTTGACTGCTTGAATTCAAATTAATAGCCAACTGGCTCTGGCTCTGGCTGGGGCTGTGGCTGTGGCTGCTCGCTTGGTTCGTTGCCCGTCCGCCGCAATGAAAACAAAAACAAGCCAAGTCAAGACCAAGTCGAGAGCCAGCCCCAGAGATCGAGTCGCGGCTAAAGCTGTAGCTGAAGCTGGAGCCGGCAGCCAACCTACTGCCAACCTCACAGATAAGTGGCCTGTGGCAAAATAAACGCCGCTTTATGGCAGTTAGTTGTAGTTTGTCCAAAGCGTGCGCCACATGGTGGTTGTTGTTGTTGTTGTTGTTCCCGTTGTTGTGGATGCATCTCACAACTGCTCCAACTCCTTTAAGGGAGAGCCAACCGTTGCCTGTTGTTAGGAGTAAGTGGTATGCATTTGCATGGCATGCGCTACCATTAGAAGCAATTTGGGTGGGATAAAACCTGGCTGCCCAGCGATCTCAGCTTTTCCAATAATAGATAAGTTTTGCAAACTTTGCGACCTATATGCACCATGGCAAAGTGATTTGGCTAAGAAATGGTTTCATTGCGCTTTTCAAATGGTTATCAGCGCATGAAAAATGGTAGACGAAACAGATTCGAATGAGCTGCGAAATAAGATTGTAAAGTGTTAACTAAATGTGTGGAGATTTATCACTGAATAAATTATAAGTTGTGCTTAGGATTTTTTCGTATTCCCAAATATCTATTAACTATCTTTGACATTTAGCCAAAAATGTTGAAATTAATTACATAACTATGCGAAATGTTTTTTGATATTTTCTATTGTTAGTTGTGAGGTATAAATTTTTAGATTTTTTATTCTCTTTTTTTATCTTTTTTCCTAATTGTATGGACAGTTATTTATAATAATAATTGATATACAGAATTTCTACGCTAACTGAAGGGTTTGCTCAAAAAGGCTCAATAAGAAATTGATTATCTTAGCAACCTATTCAGAATATTTGATTCTCTTTTTATTTTATTTTTTATAGCTGATAGCAAAAATATTTGTTTTCAGCCAGAATGTTGGTTGAAATCTCAGCCAGAAAAGGGCATGTGTTGCTGTCTTAAATAAAATTAGCTTTATTTTTGCCTAACTACCTGCTAAAAATATTATTTTATATTTACAAATTTTTCATTTGTTTATAGTTTTATAAAATAATATTTGCAGCAGCCTAACGCCTATGCCTGGCTTTATTGGGCCCTTAGGTTGGCTGCGTGTCAGGCATTTTGTAGCTCATTTTGCGCTGCGACCAGATCCTAAGAGCTTTGTGCCTGCTTCAAATCCATGTTCACACATTACTCAGAGTCCGCTGTTCGAGGTTCACGTCCATGTCTAAAGGTTTTGTGTCTTTTTGGGTGGTGCCTGGCAAGTGTTTGAACTGGACTTGAGCAGAGGCAGCAGCAGCACCAGATGAAGAGGAAGAGGCAGAGGCAAAAGGCAACAGCAGCCGGACAACTAGCAGGCAGCCTTTTGGCTGAGTCCAGGTAGGGTCCAGGCAGCAAATTGGAATTATGAATTATGAATGCGTGGTTAATAAAAAGAACGAGCAACAACAAGAAGGCAAACGGCAAGTGGGTTCGTCATGCTAACTGTGTGTGTGTAGATGGTGGACGGTAGACGGTGGATTGTGTATGCAGCAGGGGGGAGGGCGGGCAGTGGCAGAAATGCTAATGCGTTCCCCGATGCGCTTGACTGGCTATTTTCCCAGCACTCAAACGACGCCGATGGACGACTCTCGCGGTGGTATCCAAGACAATATGGTCGACTGAACTGAAACAAAGCTGAAAAGCGCAAAGTGCCGGACGCCTGCGAACAACGCCAGAAAGCGAAAACCCCTACGCAACATTTTTCTACTTCGTGTTACTCCCTATTTCCCCCTCCCTCTCTCTCTCTCTCTCTGTCTTTGGCATGGACGCGAACATGGCTTGAACCCCTTGCCACTTAAGTACTTAACACTTTTTGCTAATTGTGCGTTGTGCGCCGCCAAATGCTTCTACCAAAATATTGACGATCGCACACACACACACACACACACACGCCCGACAAGTGTTGTTGCCCACCAGCAGCTGCGGCTGATGAATCCACCAAAACTGACAGCGCAAACTCTTAGCCACACTAAAGAAAACAACACTCGAATACTTTTTGCGCCTCAATTCAAGCTAGGCTGTCCACAGCTCGGGGCATATAGCATTTGACGTGGGCTATGACAAGCCGGAATTCCTTATAGTTATCGACCATATAAAGGGCGTAACCTGTGCTTGAAGGCTTGTCATTTTCATATATTGTGGGCTGCTCTACTGGTTAATTACAAAAAGCAATTCTTGATTAGACTTTGTATCAGCAAAAGAATTTTTAAGAAACGCAATTCTAAACGTTATCTGAAAAAATATGTGTTTGATGGTTTTGTGCAAATGTATGTGACGGGTAGAAGGAAGCAGTTCCGAAGTTTATATATGTTCTTGATCAGGGATATGTCTGGGTATCCGACTGTATGAACATGTCTCGGGAAAAAAAATCTGAATGCTTCTATAACAAACGAAGCACATGCTTATCACTTTATCAATATGTTTTCCAATACCGATACAAATTGATTTTCAAACATGGTATTTAAGGCAAGACTCGAAAATTATCAAACATGATGCGTCTTAGTCTTGCATAGCTTAAACAATTTACACATATTTTTATTTCTAGATATCTTTCAAAGGTGCAAAAACTCATTTTTAAAGGCAGAGCATTCGGATTGGATAAATGCATATGCCATTGTTTGAGAACTGAATATCTCATAATGATCGGACTTTAAACGCCGAAGTTAATCAAGAATACATTTTCCATATATGTGCTATGTATACGAATGAATAGTAGGAAGTTTGAATGTTTCGTTGGGCTAGCTTCTGGCTGAGTTTAGGGTATATGCTCGTCGGTCACTGCCGACCAGAGTACTCTTAGCTGTTTTTAAACGATTTCCTACTTCTGCGTTACATTTCAAACAGAATTTGACTAGGCAGGGCTTTGTCTCTGTCTTCAACTCTCTTGAGCTATTGACTCTGCCCACATGATTGTGGAGTACGTCTTTTTCTTCTTCTTTTTGAAAACTGACCGCTGTGTAGATTTTAGCCATAAAATATGGCAACGGATGGCTTGTGGGTCAGTTGGGCACAGTAGTTGGATGTCTGGCCGTGTGATGGACTTCCTGGGAAATGCGCGTTCAGCGATTGCAATGAGTTATGTCCTGGGAGAGTTTCAAGCTGGGCAACGGCGTTACGCAGCTGTTGGAGCTGAGCTGAGCTCAAGCGTAACCTGGATAATAACTAATGTCCGTGTCATGATATGTAAATGTTATATGGAAGCCATAAGCAAATCCCACACTGCTCGTCCAAACATAAAGAGAAATTTACATGCCATCCAGCTTGTAACTGCACTTTTTTGTGTTTTTTTTTTGCTGTTGTTATTGTTGTTGTTGTTGTCTTTTTTGGCCATGGGCCATTTGGACTTGGACATCATCCTACGAGGCAACAGACATGCACACACAGTGCACAGGCACAGTGCCTTCTTTTATTTATTTTGCCTCAACGGTTTTTAATAACATTTTCATGTAATTGTAATTTTCTTTGCGTCTCACAACTTCCTCCCAAAACCCGAAAGCCTGAACACCTTCAAGTCCCGAGTCCCGCACAAGACACACACATGTCGGTGCTTTTGTGCCCAAGAGTAGGGTCCAAGGAGGGTTCCATTTGGTAACCTTTTTTGTCTGTCGTCTCTCACTCTTCGGCCTTTTGTGTTATATATCCCCCGTACCCAGGCGAAGCGCACATCATTAATAAATTTGACTTTGTATGGTGTTTTTGGTTTTCTACAATCTTTTGTTGTATATTTGTTCCTGGCTGTCAGTATTAATAATAATAAACAATATGTGGCCCCAAACAAAAGCACAGCCCATCAACATTTAACTCTCTATACTCCATACTTGCAGAGGCGTTCAGTGTCACGATACGGTGAACGGTGCCCAGTGTGACTCCTGTCCGGCTGGCTATGAAGGTGATGGACGCACATGTTCGCTACGTAATCCTTGCCTGGACACACCATGCCCCTCAGGTAAGTCAATAAACATAACAACAACAACAACAACTATGTGTGTTTATGTATTGGATTGTGTTTTCCTCTTTGCGGTCTGTTTGACTCTTTGATTAGTTTAAGTCTCGAGTGGAGATTTGGGGCCACGTTTTGTTTTCAGCTCTTTTATGGCTAATTTGACTTTGTCGTGCCCTGGGCCAAAGCCAGCCGTGTGGGTTGGGTAGCTAGCTTAGAAGCTTGGCCGGGGATGAGTCAACAGCACATAAGATCTTCAATCTTAAAGCAGCTTCTTTAATTTGCAACATTTAAATAAAAGTTGAACAGCGGGAATCAGATTGAACTCAGTTCAAAGCAGATATATAAAAGCCATGTTTCTGCAGTCAGATTTATTCATCTTTTTTTATTGTTTTAATTACAACTTCATGATATATTTAACGAATTTAATTCGTTTAGTTATACAAATTAGCGTCAGATAAAAAACGCATTGTAAACGATTTTATTAAAAATAATAGAGGTAGTCCTACAATTTGGAGCTGGGCATTGAGACTGAGCAGAAATATATTTGTTATTATGGTTTTCATTAAATTTGTTATATTTAACAAATGCGTACCATATAAAAGTAGTAAAATAATCCAACATTTTGAAAATTAGTAGAGGTAGTCCTGCTATTTTGAACAGATATTTATTTGATATATATGCTATAGGATTGAAATATGTTTTTACATAAAGAGTTAATTATTTGTGCAGCTTGGTATATCCACAAAAGTCTTGAGCATATATATTTTTTTAAATTTAGACAATTTTTCTTTTTCAATAAATTGATACGCCCGACCAATTGGCCTGTAGCGTACACAGTTCACACGACTGTTTGATTTATTAATGCGCAGCTCGAAAAAAATGTTATAGAACGCAAAGAGCGCAGCGCTGAACCCTTTTGATTGAAATCCCCTGAAAATTATAGGTTACCAGGAGCAATTTTCAGTGAATGTGTGAAACAAGCATTGCTAATTAGAGCGCAGACGCAGTTGCCGACAAAAAGTTGGAGGCCAGGAACTTGAATCATATTTTTTGTGTTTAAAGGCTTGTCGGAATGTCGTGCCTTATATGTCAAGTTGGCTAATTGAATTCGGCAAAAGTACAAAGCATCTGTTTGAAGTGGGGGTGGATTTGCTTAGCAGACTGTATGACACAAATAACTGATATTTTATTATACGATATTAATGCATAAACAATTCTCATTATTAGGCAACATTCTAATGCCCACACATAATGTGCAGCACTATCAGAGGCAGAGCCAGTACACAGCACGCAAATACTCGGTTGTAACGAACTGAATCAGATCAGAGTAGAATTTAATTATAAATTCGAGTAACTTAGAGACAGAGAGCGAGAGCGAGAGAGAGCACATAATTAATCACTTATAAATAGTCATAAGTTGTAAGCTCTATGAATGGCAATCGAATTAATTCAAAGTATTAGCAACGTTTCGCCCTTAAACAATAAATCACAAAAGTACTTACAAAAATAATAATAAATACAATTAAATTAAATCAACTTTAAAAAACAAATAGTAAATACTCTAATAATACTTGGAAAAAGAAACCAACCAGAAAGTGGAGTTTATAAGCGTGTTACGAAATTTGTTTTCCCCTCTCTGTAATGCCTAAAATGAGATGTGAATAAAATTATACAGTATATTTTTCAAAAACATATCAAATTACATTTGTTTTATTTGAGCAAAAAAAGCTTTAAAAGCTTCAAATAGCACAGTGCGTCTGCGTTTTGGATACATTTTTGGTAAATAAAATTCAATTCCTCATTTATCTCAGCTATCTGTCTATCAAATTCATCTTTCATTCGACTTATCTTATCTTGTTATTGAATTCCATTGCGCTTCATGTTTATTCACTATCATTTTCTGGTCATGCTTTATAGGATTAGTTTATGTTTAAGGATTTGATTTGTTTGCATAACTTCAAATTTAGCACATAACCTCACTTTGTGGAATATATTGGATTAGGGCAACATTTTTATTTTAAACGCGCTCACATAATGCACACTTGTAATCCTAACTAACTAATCGTGATCCTGTGAAGCATAACATCTTTTACTAACAGCAAACATAACCTTGCTTTCTCCTGACTTAACCTCACTTTTATCACAATAGACAGAATACTCGAAATATTGAATAATTATTTGAATTAACATTTATTTTGGCAGGTGTCGAGTGCATTCAGTTAGGCTTCCCGCCCTACTTCCAGTGCATCTCCTGTCCACGTGGCCACAAAATCAATGGCACCACCTGCCACGACGTGGACGAGTGTGCGATCTATCAGCCCTGCGATGATAGGGCCATTTGCAGCAATCTCAATCCGGGCTTTCGCTGTGGACCCTGTCCGCCCGGCTTCGATGGCATCCATGCACATGGTAAATATTGTCTTTTTCTAATATCTTATTACTATAATAATATTGATTCCTTGCAGGCTATTCGGCGGACTACTTGGCAGTGGGCTTTCAAAAGCAAACCTGCTTGGATATAGACGAGTGCAAAATGGGCTTCTTTAGATGTCCGGAACATGCTGTCTGTCATAATAGCATTGTAAGTAAGCCCTTAAGAGATTCTAGATTCATACGTTCGCTTAAATTCTCTATAAAATCTTCTAGGGCTCCTACAGATGTCAGTGTCAGGATGGCTATGTGGCGAATGGCACCTTCAGCTGTCTATCTGCGGCCGATCTCTGTCCCGATGGCAGCATCTGCGCCAGAAATGCCGAGTGCGTGCCCACGGATAATTATCATTACCAATGCCGCTGCAGCGTCGGCTGGGCTGGCAATGGGCGTGTCTGTGGCAGGGATCGTGACCTGGATGGCTGGCCGGATGAGTCGCTGAACTGTGCGGAGGCACATTGCCGCCGCGACAACTGTCCAGACTTGCCGAATTCTGGTCAGGAGGATGCCGATCTGGATGGCATGGGCGATGGCTGCGACGATGATGCCGACAGCGACCAGGTGTTAAATGGCAAGGACAACTGCCCGTTTGCCTACAATAGCGATCAGCTGGACTCGGATCATGATGGCGTGGGTGATGCCTGTGACAATTGTGTCTTTATTTCGAATCGGCGGCAGCTGGACACCGACGAGGATGGCCTGGGCAATGAGTGCGACGAGGACATGGACAACGATTCGGTGCTTAATCAGTATGATAATTGTCCTGCGCTGCGCAATCCGAATCAATCCGATGTGGACAACGATGGTGTGGGCGATTTGTGCGACAATTGTCCAACCATACCAAATCCCACGCAGGAAGATCGGGACATGGATCTAGTGGGCGATGCCTGCGACAGCGACATTGATGGCGATGATGACGGCATACAGGACTCCGAGGATAATTGCCCCATGGTCAGCAACTCAGATCAACTGGACACGGATGACGATGGCAAGGGCGATGCCTGTGACGATGACATGGATGGCGATGGCGTGCCAAACTACAGAGACAACTGTCCACTGGCCAAGAACCCGCAACAGTTGGACATTAATCACAATGGCAAGGGCGATGTCTGCGAGGACGACGAGGACGAGGACGGCACGCCAAATATTATCGATAACTGTCCAAACAATTCCATGATACAACGCACCGATTTCCGCACTATACGTTCGGTTATCTTAGATCCTGAGGGCGATGCTCAACTGGATCCCAATTGGGAGGTGCATGCAAATGGTTCGGAGATTATACAAACTCTCAATTCCGATCCGGGCCTGGTGGTTGGTAGCGATTCGTTTGGAGGTGTCGATTTTGAGGGCACTTTCTATGTCAACGACGATACGGACGATGACTATGTGGGCTTCATCTTTAGCTACCAGAGCAATCGCAAATTCTATGTGGTGCAGTGGAAGAAGGGCACCCAGACCTATTGGCACTCGTCGCCTTTCCGCGCCTCTGCCGAGCCGGGCATCCAGATAAAACTGATTGACAGCAACACAGGTCCCGGCTCCATGTTGCGTAACAGCTTGTGGCATGCCGGCGACACGCCTGGCCAGGCAAGGCTGCTGTGGAAGGATCCACTGAATGCCGGCTGGAAGGAGAAGACCTCATATCGCTGGTCCCTGGTGCATCGACCTTCCATCGGGCTCATCAGACTGCGGTAATTTTGCCAAAATACAGTCTTTTTGTTTTAGCTAATGCATCTTATTTCCCTCTAGCATATATGAGGGCGAACGTTTGATATTGGACTCGCACAATGTTTACGATGCCACGCTCACCCTCAAGGGCGGACGACTGGGCGTTTTTTGTTTTTCCCAAGAAATGATTATATGGTCGGATCTGGTTTACAAATGCAACAGTGAGTAGAGGCCCTTTGGCACTTGCCTTGTCCTCACACAAGCTAATCAACATTTTCTCGACATAGCACGCGTACCGCCTCTCATCTACAACGAACTGCCCACACATCTCAAGCTCAAAGTGGAACTGGAGAACTAAGCAGAGCCCAGCCGCGGTGGTTATATAGGTTTCTGGTTTCTGGCCTAGCTTTCAAAGCAGCAAAAGGTAACAACCTTCTCAAGTCTCAAGCATATCAACTAAGTTCCAACTTAGTTGTCTGCTTGAACACGTCTTTGTTTATATCATGCAATAACAAAACCCGCTATTTTTAGTATAGGATTACAACTCAAAAGGACACTGCTTTATAAACTCGCAAAATCATAGTTTAGAACTATGCATACTCTCCAGCTTTGCTCTCCTGGATAAACCTGACGAGTCCTGTAGCAAACAACTTTTATTGTCCAAGGCTATAAACTAAGCTAAGGACATCAAAAGCATTCTTATAGTTTCCGAGATATAAAGTATTTTGTAATTCCTTGCGCATGCGACGAAAATTTTACAAGTCCAGGATTCTTAGATGACCCCCTAATGTTTTAATGCAGTTTGATGCAGTTAGTCCCTACGATCCTAACGCACCATGTCCTTTGAAAATATGCAAGGATATGGCCGAGCTATGGCTATTTTTCAAAGAAGGATACTTTTATAAAACTGGCCGTAGCTTTAGCATTTTAAGGACTTTCGGCATGTCCTTTGGCCCACAGAATGTCCTTATCTTGCCCATTTAGAAAATATAATAAAAAGGACGAAGGTCCTTCAAACAGCCAAGATGAAGGGATATATGTTTTGTACATTAAAATGGCTCTATCACAGCATTATCCTTGCACATCCTGTCAAGTCCTGTGTCAAACAATTTGTATTGACTAGGACTACAAACTGGCCAAAGGACATCCAAATCGTCCATGTGGTTTCTGAGATATGGCTTATTTTCTAAAAAGGACATTCTTTTTATAGCCATATCTTGGTCATATCCTTAAGGATACGAGAAGGATATACCTTTTTGAACTCGTGGGGAGCAGGACTATCGAATGGCATTCAAGGAATTCCAGGATTCGACAAAAAATTTCACTAAAATTTTTCACAGGGTTTAGTCAGAAAATTGCCAAAAATCGAAAAATTCGGGACTAACTTCGCCATTTGAAGGACTATCGCTATGTCCTTTGGACTGTAGATAGTCCTGATCCTCCCATTTACGAATATACAACCCAAAGGACGAAAGTCCTTCGGACAACAAAGTTTTAAGGACAAAATTGTCAACAGAAAATAGCTTATAACTCGGCCATATCCTGGCGTATCCTGACGAGTCCTGTGTCAAAACAATTGTATTGACCAGGACTACAATCTGGCCAAAGGACATCAAGATCGTCCTTATAGTTTCAGAGATATCGTGATTTTACTGTAATTTGATGATTTCAGCCAATTTTTCTTGCGGCCCGCGACTGAAAAATTACCAAGTCCAGGATTCTTAGATAACCCCATAATGTTTTAATGCAATTTGATGCAGTTGGTCCCTACGATCCTAACGCACCATGTCCTTTGAAAATCTGCAAGGATTTGGCCGAGTTATGGCCATTTCTTTTCTCAAAATACCCTTAAATCTCTCTTTTGACATTTTTAATATAAATGTGTTTTTATCTTTTCAGATTGAAGGACTCAAGGATTCGAATCGATTCAAAGGACTATTACGAATCTAACGAGGCTATTCCTTCCAGGATCAGACATATATTAAGCCAGATATAGTTATTTTTAGTAACAATCGAAAATACACGTAAAAATCAACAAATCTGTTAATTTTAACAAAAATAAATATTTAATACTATTTTTAAACAAATACCTGTTTTTCTACTTCCCAAGGGATATGGGATTCAAAAATCAACGGTTTTTAATAATTTGTTGCATACCCGAAAGGGGCGCCCTAATCTGCGGCTGGGTCCCAAATTTGTACTAAATTTCTGCTGAAGTACCAGGCGAACAGAAATGCTCAGGTCGATGAAAATTTAAAAAAAAAATTTCGTTGCATACGCGCAAGGGCAAAAATGTAACTCATTTAAAATGAGTGATGTTAAGCTATAGGTAATGTTAAATGAGTGCTGTAAAGCGGATGTTAACTAGCAGCTGCAGCTCATTTACAGGGGCTTCTGAAACAAAGAGAATACATATTTTTGGACCATTTCAATGCAAATTTTGCAGGGATCTGATCCTTTAGGTTGCCAAGGACTATATCGATGGCATGGTATAACCAAGGATATGATAGTCAACTAGGAACCATCCAGGGGCGGCTGTAAAAAACACATCATTTTGGAACATGCATGTCTTTAGGTTCGCTAGGACTATATCCTTGGTATTGAATAACCAAGGATATATAGGTCATCTAGGTACCAACGACCGCGGGCGTGGCAGATGTGGCTGAAAAACAATATTTATTTCAATATTTACAAGGACATTTTGTTAACTGTTTATCTATGGATATAGAGGCCATCTAGGTACCAAGGATATATGATTATCATCAAGTCCATGGGCTGAAAAATACAAAATTAAAATTTATTGAGTATTTTGAATGGATTTATAGAGCATAAATTACGTACAACTTCTGAAAAAAATAGTTGTTAAAAATCTTTTACTTGAAATATTTTACAAATATTGTTTTCAGAACCGTTTTGGATTTGGCAACTAAAACTATTGTAATCATTCCCATTATGAACGCAATTTCGTAATTAAATATTAACATTTGATACTCCCGATCCGTACAAGTCCGAAGACGTATACCATTTTCACTCAAAACATTTTTAACAGCTTTACACGACTGCTAACTAAAACTCATTTATGTTACGCGTACGCAGAGTGGGGACACATTGAGCATGTAAACCATAAACTTGAGTGGGTGCCATTCAAAGGTAGGAGATCAAGGGTAGATAATCATAAGATAAATTCTTCACTGAAACGAAAACCGGTAAAAATAAAAATGCATGTGAACGTGAATGAAAGCGAAACAACGCACAAGCAATAACATGACATACGAAGATCCCACTCAAGAAAACACACATCCAAACATAAGTATGCAGAGATAATCGCCAAATATGTTGTACATATGTATGTATGTATGCCTGCTAGTGCATTATCTTCTCATGCATCGCACTCTTGCAATTCATTTTACGAAATGAAAAATTGATATTTTTTGGTATACTTCGAACGGCTTCATATTGGTTTATTAAAGTCGGTTTTCGGCCAGATTACGTTTCGTGAAATTATTTTAAATCGATAGAACTGTACAAATTTACATATGTATGTATATTCTTTTTTTTGACAAACTTTGGCATATGATTTTTCAATGTCACTTGATACTCCACAGGATCCGCACGCGTTCGATAATATACACCTTTAGAAAGATGGACGACATTTACCCGAGAATTTTCACCAATAATAATTTTAAACAGCTTTACTCGGCTGCTGGCATTCAACTAAAGCAGACAAATTTTATGCGCAACCAAAATGGACGAAAAACCAACGGAGCGCACATTGAGCAAGCAATCCGCAAATTCGACTGAGCGCAAAGCTAGATAACGTACAAGCAATCACACACATGCATAAATAGACAGCATGCAGAGCGAATTGCCAAAATTGTACAAATGTATGTGTATGTGCGTGCTTGTGCATTATCTACATATGCATTGCGCTCTCCTGAATTTTTGTGAGCAGCAACAAGAATTGCTCTCACTGCTGTGTGCCGTTTTTTTTTTTAGCATTCACACACATGCATATGCAAATAGATACATACGTACAAGCACACACACACACAAACATATACAAGTAAAGGGCACTGCCGGGCGCAGAAAATGTTGCTGAAAAATACTTATGCATGGCGTTCGCACGAATTTGCGGTGTTTGCTTTATTTTGACTTTGTTTGACCCCAGTAGGAAATATGACATATTGTCAATAATAATTAATTGCTAGTTATTTAAGAATGTTGAGAAAGCAAAGCAGCTTCTCGCAAGCTCTGTTAAAGTTGGTTCGATTTCAGCGAAGACAAGGCTAGATGTTGCATTAGTTCAAGCCGTGAACAGTGTTGGCCACAAGACAAATGAATGCCTTGACACTGTGCAACACTGAAGAGAAGTCGCCAACGCAGTTGTTAAATGAATAACACCTCGGTTCTTTTGATTTGAATTTGTTGTATTGAACATAGGAGCAGTGCAGGCCTAGATTTAAAACATTTTATCAACCGTAATTTTCGAAAAAATAACAATAAAAATAGTCTTGCTACCTAAACAGTCTGAAATTCTGTCAGTCTTGCAACAAATAGTTCAGGGTAAGTTAACCAACATTGAGTAGCTGACAAAAGATATGAGAATCGCTCCATCAGATAGTAATTATGGCCAGTTGCGATGTGCAAGCCACTCCATCGGATGACAATATAGAAGAGGATACAGCCGAAGCCGAAACACAGACCGAATCAGTCAATAAATTTGAAGCCCGTACTACCAAGAATGGGACCGTGCCGCAGCCAACCAAAATTCCGGGACCCGTACGCCTAGATAACACCGGTAGCTACATCCACACCAGTACTCGCAAGTACACCAGCCTGATGAAATCGCTGCAGACCAAGGGCGAACACGATGACAGCTTCAGCAGCACCAGCACCCTGGTGAACACAGCCGAAGATTCCGGCATCCAAATGGACTGCTCAACCGTAGAGACCGATGAAATGAATGCATATTCGGATATTCCGTGTCAGCCGAGCAGCTCCACGCCCCGTCTGCAGCGCAGCACCGATACGGTTGCGATCAGTGGAAGTCTCCAGGAATTGGAGGAGGCCGAGCAGCAGACTCTACGCGTGCTGCAGCGTGCAGTCGCCGAAATGGAGGCGGATGTGGCACTACACGCTGAGCTACTTGAGGAACAGATGAAGCTTGAGCTGGAGAACCAGCAGAAACTGCAATTTGAGGAGGACGTCCAACAGGAGTTTAAGAAAACGCTGTTGCCAGAAACAGTCGAGGAGCAGAAACAGCAGCAGCAGCCAGATCACAAGCAGCTGAAGCTGCAGCCCGAGCAACAGACACCGTCCATCCATGCCAGAGCTGGTGTCCGTGAGCGCAAGCATGTGCGAGTGGAGCAACTGCTTGAGGCGGAGCACGACATTGAATTGCTGCACAAACTGCTCCAGGTGGACGAAGGCGAGCAGCTGGCCCATGGCGAGCTGAATAACGCTCTGGCCCAGCCCAGCGAGAAGCTTTGTTTGCCCGATCTGAACGCCGGCAAGGACATGGAGGATCTGGATAGATGCGCTACCGATTCAGCTGCAGCTGAGTTCAATCGCAAACACATTAGCCTTCTGCACTCGCTGCTGCATATTATCTGTGGAAAAGGCATCCGCAAACTGAGCTATCCCATACTATTTTGTGGCATGGCTGTTGGTCTGATTTATTACTTTCGTAAGGATTAGGGCATTGTAGGCGTAAACCAATTTGGCGTAACAAATTCCCAAAACACACAAATTCAAGGGCTTTGCATGTGCGCAACGAACGCAACTAAATCGATTTCCAGTTGAGTTCCCAAAATTATATTTATTTTATTAATAAAATAAATCGCCTATACTGCCACAAATCCTGCGGCGCTACAAAAAAGTCACTGTTTTCGGAACTGGATATGAAACAAACAACAAGCAATAAATGTAACTAACTTTATATCAACAAACAATCAATAAATAAACATGCGTCATTTTAATAGTCAAACAATATGTTTTTGTCTTTGCATTTTTGCCGCAGCATAAGGAAAATATTGAATGATATTGGGGCTATCTGCTCGAAAGAAATATTGATTTTAGCTCCAGGAGCGGGAAAGAACTGTACATATATGTTCTATGAGAACAAGAACAAGAAATCGGTGCACGACTAGCAGATACCCTAAGTTGCCCTTACAATCATTCTAGCAAAGTGATCTAGCTCGGTATTTACAGTCCGATCTTTACCAGCGCTCAAATATGGCATACAAGAGGCGCAAGGATCTGCCAATTTTGGGGTAGTATAGCAGGCATACAAGGACTCAAGTTGTGTTTACATGTGCACTGAACAAATTGTCAGTGTTAGGAAATAGTTTGGAATTATTGGGAAAAATTGTAAAAATTGTAAATCGTTTTTAATTTTTATTTTTTTATTGCTGGCGCAAAGAAATGGCCGCCATAGAATCCGTTTGTCTTGCCGGCCTATTGCATCTCATATTTCGATTTGCTTTATATATAACACCGCAGTCGAAGCTAAGGACGCCCGGTCCCGTAATGCCCACGGCCATCGTCTTCCTGGCGCTATTGGATGTCATCTACGATAACCGTATACTTCCGCTGCGCTTCAACGATATGTCGCCGGGCTTTAAGTACATTTTCGAGACGATTATGGCCGTGTTTATCTTGGAGATGGGAATGCTGATCTGGCAGTCGATCGAGCACTCCATTTACTTGTTCGCCAAGGGCACACTGCTCGGCCTGGACGTGGTCTCCAAGCAAACCTATTATAAGCAGGAGAACCTGATCATTGGAGCCTTCACCCTGCCGCTGTCTCTGGCTATTTTAATCGCAGCCGCACAGGCTACGGATCACTACCAGATGTTCCGCCGTAGAATCGCAAACTAGAGAAATATTGTGCTGGCTGGGAATAATGGACATTGTCGACGTTAAAGTGAATTCAAAACCTATATAAGATATACTTTGAGAGATGTATTCGAATCAAGAACGGGCTAGAGTTGTGCTTTTTATGTTGATTCAATTAAAACGGTTTATAATAATTAAAACGGAAAATGTTCATGAATCCTAGTCTTCGTGAAGTCTTAAGAGATGGAGCAGGGCATACTAGAGGGTGTATAAATGCTTTTTTTTTCACTATTTGATAACTCTAGATCTTATCAAGTTCGTGGTACGGGGCGCGGGGGGTAGGCTATTAATGCTCTTTAAGCATATATACACTTTTTATATATTTTATCAATTTTGTTCATTTTGGGATTTCAACACACGAAACTGACCACATTAATTAAATTTGGTGCACAGTATTTCAAATGACTGAATATTTTATATTAATTTAAAGCAATAAAAATTCTATTTGACCGAGCCGAAGTAGTTGTAACAAAACGTATGTATGTATGTATACATATATACAAAAAAGTAAAAAAAACGCTAAAGAAACAACAAAATCAAATGGCTGAATAAAAAGAGAACGCTGAAATTAAGCACGAGAGCAATTGTAAGCAGGAGAGTATTTGCAGTTTACAGTTGCACACGAATGTGCAAGAGATAAAATAAAAAATAACGGAGCCTTACCAACAACTGCTAGTCCACGCAATTGAATGGCAAGCAAAGCACAAAACGCAAATTTATAAACTGAATTCACAAAATTCGCGGAAAACAACACTTACCCGGAATAATTTAAATATTTGCAATAATTTAGTCTTAAGCGCTGGTTATTTAAATATAAATCACAGAAAATACGGAGCGCACAGAAAAAAACACGTCAATTCGCATCAAAATTCTGCATCTACTGATCATAAGTGTGTACACATGCACTTACAGAATATTTATGTGTGCCCCACTCTCACTCTCTTTCTCTCTCAAACACAACTCTGTTAAATAGCTTCATTTGTATGAAATTAACATCACATTGGCCTTGGCTAACATTTTTGATATATGCAAGCTGGACTTGCACATACATTTCAGTTATTCTCATAAGTTTTTATCGAAGTTAAGTTTTAAGCATTTTAAATAAATACTCCAAATTGATTGTTTTTTAATTCAAGGTAAGCATGCAATCTATATACATAAAGCTTCAAGATATAGTCACCTTATATCTCTGTTGTAGCCATGGCGTCTCTCGAATCCGTTCTTGTCGCTGGCCTGGTGCATCTCTTCTTTCGCTTTGCCTTGTACATTACACCGCAGTCCACGTACCTGACGCCCGGCCCGGCACTGCCCACAATAATTGTCGGTGTGGCTATATTGGATCTGATCTATGATTACCGCATTGTTCCCTTGAGCATGTATAAGAGGGCACGGGGCATCAAATATATTTGTGAGTGCTTGGTGGCAATACTCTTCCTGGAGGTGGGCATGCTCATATTCTGGCAGACGATCGAGCATCTTGTTTATTTAATTGCCAAGATGCTGTTGCTGGAAATGAATATTGTCAGCCTCGATTACTATTATCGACATGAAACTTTCATAATTGGCTTGTTCACATTGCCGATATCTCTGGGGTTTCTGGCCCTGGTAGCGGGGATTACCAACCATTTCAAGATGCTTTCTCGTCGCTATATGTCGCCCCAGACACATGTCTACCTCCGCTTGGACAATACGGTTCGCTTTCTGAGGCACACCGATCGCTACAAGAATATTAGGTGCAGGGAGGCTTTCGAGAAATACAATTCGACTGGCAACGATCCCAAACGTAGATCCGTATGGGTGAGATACTTTCAGAATTATACGTAGGTAAAATATGTACATAATTTGAGTTTCATTAAATTGTTTTGTACTTTTATACAAAAGGATTTTATTAAATTACATATTACTTGTCATATGTGTATACATAATAATTAATTGTTCTTTAATTAAATTACAAAATAACGACTATATTTGATTTGCTTTTTACAGCACTCGCGAATTTTTCAACAAGTTTGGAAAATATATATTGCAATTAAACGCTTTCATTTTACATACCTTTTAAAGCAAGGTAATTTAAAGTATTAATTTGTTTGCGTATAGGTAAATAATACTTAATATTAAAACAATTTTATTTCTTTTTTATTTTACTCGCGTAAGTTCGACTTAATTTCTGTTTCTAGTTTTCATTTTTTAAAGAGCACATGGAGTTATTATTTTCTTAAGACTTCAATTTTCATAAAGCAGCTTTTTTCCTCACATTCCAAGCTTTGCATTAAGCCACGTAATTGCAGCTGATTTAAAAAGTTACAATAAAGTTCTAAGGTTTCTGTGAAGCCAGCCGATTACTGCGATTCAATGCAAAGCTTTAAAACACGCTTTCAATGAGTATTTTTTTTTTTTTCGGGGCAGTGTTAGAACTTTGCCTCTTTGCAGTGCTACATAGATTTATGACCACAATTTACATTAAAGCAGCTTTTTAAGATTATTCCATTTAGGTTATTTGTATATTTCGTTGATGGTTTACTGCACTTCGCTATCACTGTCACTCTTTTCTGTAAGATCCCAATATTGGTCAGTTACCTGGTATAAATCATAAATATTTAGTTCGAAAACTCACCTTTCTTGCCCGTGTAAGCGTGACGTTTCAGTCGATCGTATAAGTCTTCTTTAGTTCCATAGAGCGACGCATTGGACCGGGCCAATGTGCTCATCTTGCCACCATGTAGACCTGCAAATACCAATACATGTACATTAGCCTTGTCAGTAATGAGAAGCATCCCAGGAAAATAAGGTAAGAATCGACTCATTCAATCATACATTTATATACTAAAATATATTCCAAACAAACAGACGGACCGGACGAACGGCTCTAGAAATCTAGGAGCTTACCGTCTTTCATGTAGGTTTCGTTGTAAAAGTTGGGCATCTCCCAACCATCCTCCTCGTCGTCGTAGTAATGCGCATATGTGCTGTGATGCGAGGGCGCAATGGACTCCGCATATGGCGTGTGTGCGCCATAGTAGAAGTTCACCTGTGAGCCAGTTTGGTCAATGGCTGGCGTCAGCATCTTCTTTGGATCCCTGCGCTTCGTGGAGCGCACACAAATCATCCAGATGAGCAGTACAATGATTATGATGAAGATGACAGCACCAGCAATGCCGCCCGCTATGTATGCGAACTCTGAACGCTCAGCGCAATGCGGTCCGGTAAAGGAGCCCACACAGCGGCAGGATGGCGTGCCCTTCAGGTCCTTGACACAGGTGCCAGAGTTCTCGCAGAAACCATCGCAAACATCTGTGCAGGCCATGCCAGTGCCATTGAAGCCAGGCTTGCACTCGCACTTGAAGTCCGATGTCTCAGGCACCATAATACAGTAGGCGTTGACATCGCAATGGGGTTTGCCCTCAGCAATGTGCTCGCAAGGATTGGTGCACTCACTCTTAGAGGTGGCGCCGGTAATCTTGGTGCTGTGATTGGGCGGACACTGAATGCAGGTTGTCTGCTGGGACTCGGATTGATAGAAGCCCTTGCGACATTCGATGCACATGTTGAGTGTGGCATTAAGATAGGTGCCAGGCGAGCACACGGGCAGTGTGCACTCCTCCACGGAACTGGCGCCCACCTTGGGCGTGGTACGACCCAATGGGCAGGACGCGCATGACGGTTGCACACCTTGTAGTCGATAGGTGCCACGTGGACAAGGCTCGCAGCGTCCATCAGCACCCAGCTGCTGGCCAGAGCTGCATTCATCGCGGCACTCCTTGCGCGAGGTTGCCTCCGTGGAGCGTGTGGTCTGACCCAGACCGCACAGTTCGCAGGTGAAAGCACCCTCATTTGGCTGATAGAAGCCGTGGCCGCAGGAGCGGCACAGACCTGTCTCCGCGTCGAAATACTTGCCAGCCGGGCAGCGTTCTTTGCAGTCAGCGGCGGAGCGTGCTCCAGGACCAGCTGTCACACCAGGACGTCCAGCTATGGTCGGACACTTGCTGCACTGCTGCTGGCCCGCCTCGGATTGGTAACTGCCGCGAGCGCACGGAATGCACGTCTTGTTGGCGCTATCGTAGAAGGTGCCGATGGCGCATGGCACACAATCGGGTATCATTACAACCTGGCCAGCGGGGCAGGCATATTCGGAGCCCAGTTCCAGCGAAGCCGGGTCGGGCACGGTGTTCGGCAGAATCTCTTGTACGGCAAATTGGTCATCCTCTAGAATCAATTTCTCCAGCAATTGTTTCACATTGGAGCGCTCGCCCGTCGATGTATGCACCACAGGATCGCTAAGGATGAATGAGAATAATATGAGGTTAACTTCTTGTATTGATTAAAGTTTAAGAATTGAAAACGTATTAACAGTCGGGTTAGCACGTAAAACACATGTGACATGTGGGGTTAGCATGAAGCATTAGACAGAGAGCATTGTGATTGATTGGTTGGTTGGTTGGTTGGATGTTTGGATTAGTCTGAGACATTTGATAGTACTGGGTGCAGAGTGCTGGAGATCGGGTGCAATTGATCGTTATATTGAACGAATGAGATGCTTGACATACTTAACAGCCGGGAAGGCTATTTCCAGCGTGTATGTGTCACCGCCAGTTTGTTGGCGTCCCTGGCGACCCGTCAGCGCCAAATCGTCCTCATCGCTAGAAATTGGGTTAACGAACACATACATATACATATAACACAGAGTACACATATATACATCAAGACAAAACATGCTAGATCGAAGTCCTATGTGCCGTAAGGTTGAACTGTTAACACTTTGCACTACTTACTTGACAACTGGCAGTTCCGCTTCCATCACATAGACGCCGCCATCCTTGACCTGTCGGCGCACACGATTGTTTTGGGCGGCGCGATAGTGATCGCACTTGACATCGATTTGAATATCCTTGCACTCTCTGTAAACACAAGGCTTTAAATAATGCCAATTGAATGGATATGTTAGTCCATATTTACCTGGTGCCTTCAATGGAATAGGAGCAGAAGTTCCAGTCCCTGTTCAACGCATTCACGGAGTTGGTCACCTTCTGTCGCAGCACAGCCTGGCCGGCCTTGTTGCAGAGCACATCCGAGGGGAAGAGCATTTTGATGCGGAAAACGCGCTGGGCCGGCTTGGCCGGTGAGCAGGATGGGTAGACGAGTGGCATTGAGGGTTCGCGTGTGGGACGCCAGAAACCTTCAGCGCCGCAAGTGTAAAACTCAGGTACCTGCTCGGAGAAGCGTAGCCCGGTATTACAAGCAATCTCGCAGACCTTGAACTGACCGCCTGCGCCCCAGTCCTTGCAAACTTGAGAACCGCCTACGGGGTCAGCCAAAGGTGGGCAGAATTCAGCTGGAACAAAAGAAGAGGAGAAGGTTAGAAGTGATTCCAAGAATATGCAAGAAATTACATACTTAATAGCGAGACCTTGAAGCTACATGATGCCGTGTTACCAGCGGCATCGGATGCGATGTAGGTGATGTCGTAGGTGCCCCAGAGCAGAGTTGTGCCGGAGCGATGTCCGTTGCGTTCGTAAATCTTTGTGACACCAATGTTATCGCTAAAGTGTGGCTCGTCCCAGGTAACCACGGCCGAGCCATTCTTGGCAATGACCCACAAATCTCCGGGACAATGCTCCACAACTGGCGGTTCCTTGTCCACAACCAACTGTTGACAGTTGGCGCCCGTGTAACCCACTTGGCACTTGCGTTGACCACACAATGAGGGCACATTGCGCTCGACACCGCCCGTGGTCATCTCATAGCCGCCCCAGTTCAGGATAAGACCTGGGTAAAGCACTGGCTCGGAGCGACAATCGCGCACCTGCTTTTGTATTTCCGAGGTAATATCTAGAGCACGTGCCCAGACCTGTGCCTTGGTAACGGTGCCTTGGAAGCCAGCTTCAGTATAGCCAAGGTCATGCTTGACACTATCCGGTTGCGGACGACCCAGCACCGACCAGAGATAGGCAGGCAGAACGCCACCAGCACCATACTCCAACTTGCTAGCTATCAAGCCTTCGGTAATCAGCTGAAGCTGACCGCTGATGCCATCCCAGACGACAGCTACGTGATGCCACTGTCCATCGTTGACGGACGTATATTCGCCAAAGCTGAGGAAAACATCGGGCAGATCCTCAAAGAGCGAGACTTGAACGCCGCTGGAATGAGCCTGGAGCAGAAGTCGGCGATGTTGTGTCATGCGAGCAGAATCCACGCCGTACAGCGTAAAGAAGATGCCGGTGTCATCTTTCTGGGCGAACTGCACCCACATGGCCACGGTCAGGCTGTTTGCCTCACCCGTGGGGAAGGGCACCACCTGTGCGGCCGTTGAACGTGACGGATCGCTGAAGTACAGATCGTAATCCACCTGAATGGCCTTGCGACAATCATCGCCTGTCATATTGAAGGGGCACTGGCAATAGAAGCCATTGGTAAGATCCACGCAGCTGGCGCCAGGTGGACAAGAGTTGTCCTTGCAATCCACAATGTCCTGTTCGCAGTTCTTGCCCGTGAATCCGGGCGGGCACTGGCAACTGTAGCCGGCACCATTGTCCAGACAGGTGGCACCATTCTGACACACATGCTCCTCGCAGGCATCGTACTCATACTGGCAATCAATGCCGGCATAATCAGCTGGACAGCTGCAGTTGAGGCCCGAGCCAAAGTCCTGGCACTTGCCGCCATGCATGCAGGGATTTCCAATGCAGCGCTCGGGTGCAGTCTCACAGTTTTTGCCATCGGTACCGCTGGGGCACACGCAGAAATAGTCTTGGAACAGATCAATGCATTTGGCATCGTTCTGGCAGGGCGCCTGAACATTGCAGGTGGTCACCTGCTGCTCACAGCGCATGCCGCTCCATCCGGGAGCACAGCCGCACTCGAAGCCACCGACACGATCGCGACAGATGCCATTGTTGAGGCAGGGCTGCGGCTCGCAATCATCGATGTCCGTCTCGCAGAGAGCACCCTTGAAGCCATCACGGCACACACACTCGTACTTGTTGTCAAGATCCAGGCAGCGCTCGGTGCCAACGGGATGGCAGGGGTCACTTAAGCATTCGTCGATTTCCGCCTCACAGCTGAGACCAACAAAGCCGGGACGACACTTGCAGCTGAAGCCATCGAGTTGATCCACGCAGGTGGCACCATGCTGGCAGGGATTCGAGGCGCAATCATCAATTGTGTGCTGACAGTTCTTGCCCGTGTAGCCCGGCTCGCAGTTACAGCTGTAGCCATTAACCAGATCCACGCAGACGCCATCATTTGCACAGGGTCGATTCTCGCAGTCATCAATGTTGATATCGCAGGCGGCTCCTGTCCAGCCGGGATGGCAAACGCATTCGTGATCAAACAGACGATCCACACAGACACCATGTTTGCACGGCTCGGATAGGCACAGGTCAATCTTCTGCTCGCAACGCTTGCCAGTAAATCCGGGCGGGCACGCGCACTGGAAATCGTTGACCAGATCTGTGCAGGCGGCGCCAAGCAAACAGGGATTCTCTTCGCAATCGTTGATATTCTGCTCGCAGTGCATGCCCTCCCAGCCGGGTAGGCACTCGCATTTATAGCGACCCTGCTGCAGCGCCAAGCAGCTGGCGCCATTCGTGCACGGATTGCCGTTGGCCGTGCAGGGATCTATGGTCACATCGCACTGGTCGCCGGTGTAGCCGCTGCGGCAGAGGCAGGTCACGTTCTTGTAGCCCGGCTCGTTCTTGCACATGGCTCGGGCGGGGCAGGTGTCAGCGCCACAATCACTGGCCTCCTCTTGGCAGTTGATGCCCGAATAGCCAGTGGGACACTCACAGCGATAGCCCTGTGGCAGATCCTTGCACTGACCGCCATTGTAGCAGGGCTGCGAGGCGCACTCATCTATATCCTGTTCACAGCGGCGTCCAGAGAAACCAGCAGGACAGAAGCACTGCACATCGTGACCCATGGGCACGCAGAGGCCTCCATGTTGGCAGGCACCCTCGCCGCAAACCACAGGCTTGCACTGTTCCCGCCCCTTAGCGCCAGCATTGTCGGTGCGCATGTTGCTGGGGCATTCATTGCAGTTCTGTGAGCCTGCAGCGCTCTGGTAATGATGCAGTGGGCAGGGTGAGCAGGGGGCCAGACCCGTTGCTGAGTAGGTGCCGGGCGCGCACTTGGCACGGCACAGAGCCTTATTGGAAGCGGCGGGCTGATAGGTAAATGTCTGAGCTGGACAGGCTTGGCAATCCTTGAACCCACCCGTGGGCGGTTCCGCACTGAAAGAGTTGCGTGGACATTCCAAACAGGGCACCAGACCAGTTGGGGAGTATGTGCCGTAGCCGCAAACGGGTATGCAGTCGCTCAGCGACTTGGAGCCCTCTTCTTTGGTATAAGTGCCGGCAGGACAGCGCAAACATGTGCCCTGTCGATCGCGATTCTGATAGTAGCCACGTGGACAATAGGTGCAGCTATTCTGACCCTCCGAGACGTATGTGCCCGCCGGGCAGTGCAGGCAGCGCGGCACATCGCTGGTATCCATGTTCAGCACCTCGCCCACATTGCAATTAAATCCGCGAGTGATTTGCGATTTGAGAGCTCGCAACGGTGGGCACTGATTGCCAATGTTGGATATGTTCAGCAGGTCATCGATCACGGCACTGGCGTAGGGCACGCTCAGATCAAAGATGAGATTCAGCGTCGAGCCGCAGAGATCGTAAAGCTGTGGCTGACGCACCGCCGGCAGTATGGAAAGTATAAAGTCCATTTTGACTACATTCTCCTCCAACAGCGACGGCACCGACTTGACAAATGTGACATTCATGTTCACATTCACCGCGGAGCAGCGCTGCGAGAGCAATTGATTGAGTCCCGCATAGTGCTGAGAGAGCACCTCCTGGTATTGCCCGAGACAGGATTGAGCCACGGCACCATTGGCGCGGTAAGTTATGGTGGCAGTCACATGGTAGGCAGCCTGTTCCGTATTCTCCGATACACAATCCGGTACCACAGACGTGGGACGCCAGAGGCGGGATGTTTCACAGGAGAAGGTCTTCAGAGGTTCGCCATCGGTAAAACGGAAACCGGGCTTGCAGGTGGCTATACATTCAATGCCACGATCTCCAGGCAGGCAATTGATGGCTCCATTTGCCGGTGGCTGTAGCTCCCAGTCCACACAGGGTGAGGCCTGCACGGATACCTGGAAGTGGCAGCTGGCGCGATTGTTGAACTTATCGGTCGCGGTCACAGTCACATTCTCAAAGTTGCCAATCTTAATGGTCGCACGCTCGGGCGTAAACTGTAGACGCACCTCACCCGTCTCATCTGAGGTCTTGATGCGCTTGCGCGTGTCATTGAAGTTCACATTGTAGCTGTCCTGGCGATCAACCAGCTCAATCACATAGCTCTGGGGACACTGCAGCAATGGTGGGGTAACATCCGGCACGGTTATATTTATTTCACAGATGGCCACATTACCATCGTAATCAAATGCCACGTATTTGACCACCGTATCCTTAAAGATATGACTGGGTGTGCGGAAATTCTGTGGCTTGATTTCCAACCTGGCAATCGAACCGGAATTATCGACGGCGGTGGGTTCAGTAAAGTTAACGGGCAGCACACCACCATTTTCATCACGACGCACCACAATGGGCTGCTGTGGACAGTTCTGGAAGATCGGCGGCTCATTGTCCACGCATGGTGAATAGCCGTAATCGTAGCCCAACAACGGCTCTTGTTGGGGCTCCTCGCAGCCCATCAGCTCAAATTTCAGACAGGCATTATCCATATAACTAACGATGCCCAGGATCACAAAGCGTGCCTGCACGTACTTGGGCAGCGTTATCATGGCCAGCTCACCGTAGTTACCCGGATCGCGCATGGTTAGATTAAAGTTGGGGAAATAGACAACATAGTTCTCGTTCTCCGCCTGCTTGTAGAAAAAGCGTATCTCGGTTGGACGTCCGACAATGTCATTGGTCACAACACCCTTGACGAGTATGGCCTTGACGCGATAGATCTGTCCCAGATCCACGCTGACATAGGTGAAGGCTTCCTGCTTGCCGCACCAGCCGGTTGCAGAGTTCAGGCGTATATTCTTGGCCTCATAGTTTGGTCGCTCTGAGGTGGCATTGATGGCCGAGTCGGGTATTCTGCCTGAGCCCAGGCCCAATGGCCTGATCACCTTACACTCCGGCTCGCGTATGCAAGTAATTGGCCTTGGATTGATAAGAATGTAGCCAGGACGATTGCAGCCAAAGTAGACCTCAGAGCTTTGCTCGTAGCTGCGCGCCAGCTGGCGTCCATCAGCTGGTCTGCCTGGATCCTCGCACACGGGTCCCTCGCAGCGCAAATCACCAAAGTCCCAAATACCATCGGCACCACAGCGCACTACATTGTCGTGGCGCTGGGTCTGCCCAGCCAGCTTAAAGGTGTTCTGGCAGCCAAAGAAGAAGTTGCTCTGGTAACGCGTGTCCACAAACTGTCCGTACTCGGCACCAGGTGTTGGCATTGGCGCATAGCAGTCGACACGCGGACACGAAGGCTGCACGCCCGACAGCCAGTAGTCGGGCAGACCTGGCTTTGGATCGTAGACACACTGTCTGAAGCCAGCGGAGGCAGTGGAGCGCAACTGACGTCCGGCCGAGCCGCAGCTAATAGTCACATTGTCGCGGAACGGCACCAGCACGGACTCTGGATCGGGTCGTGCAACAGTCAAGCCCTCCAGCTTGTCGTCAGGCAAGGAAACGCACTTCGCATCTGTAGGAAATTAATTAAGAATGAAGTTATTAAGAGGTTATATACGCTACCGTGTCGAATTCAATCACTTACAATTGCATTCCGGTACGCTGGCATTCCATTGACCGCTGGACAGGCAAAGCGCCACCGAGCTGCCGCTCATTATGTAGCCGAAATGGCACTGGAAACGAACCACATCGCCAAAATGATAATCGTCACGTTCGCTGAGCAGCTGGCCATTTTCTGGCGCCTGCAGCTCCGGGCACATCAATGGGACACAGGTCTTGTTGCGCTGATAGGTATCGCCGTCGCGTTCGCCAGACTCGGAGCGTTCAATGTGATAGCCAGCGGTGCCATTGGATGAATAGAGCTGATAGCCCGTATTACAGGCGCAGGAATAGCTGCCGGGTGAGTTGATGCATTTTTGATCGCAGCCGCCGTTGTTCTTGCTGCACTCATTGATGTCCACGCAATCCAAACGGGTGCAGCCCATCAGTTCCATGCGCAAGCAAGGCGCACCCACATAGTCCTGTATGCGGAAGCGTATATAACGCGCCTCGATTGGCAACGGCAGATTGAGTATGGACAGGGTGGGCTCCAGTATTCTGAATTCAACGGCAGTTCCATCGGGATTGGCATAATCCTTGAAGACATCTGTCAAATCGTTTGTATATTGCAGGCGCACGGCCGAGCTAAAGGCCACATTGCCATCAGGACGCTGCACAGACATGGTACGGAAACCGCGTAATATTGTGGGCGCCTTGAGATCAATCAGTATCCAGTTGGCGCCGGGCTCCAATGAGGCACCGCACCATCCATTCGTATTGAGACGCAACAGAGCCTTGCTGTAGCCGGGCTCACTGGCCGAGGTGCTGATACTATCATCTGGAATGCCGCCATTGCCCAGACCCAAATCTCCAACGGGTCGGCACTCAGTGGTGGCGGTAAAGCCCGGTCGGCACTGGCAATGGAAGGAACCGTTGGTATTCATGCAGTCGGTGGTAGTCAAATCGCATTGAGAGGAGCTGCACTCGTTGATGTCCTCGCAGCTGGGTGGCTGCTCAAAGCGCTGGGCCTCGCTGCAGCGCATGATATTGCTGCCAATCAGCTTGTAGCCCTTGAAGCACTGCACCCTGGCCTCATCGCCAAACAGATAGGAACGTGCCGCATCCACCACGAAGCCATTTTCAATTTCGGGAAACTCAAAGCAGCGTTTACGCGTGCAGCGTGGCACATCGCCACTCCAAGTGCCATTCGACATGCAGGTCAGCACGGGATGCCCGTTGCGTTCATAGCCAGGCTCACATTCGTATTGGACAATGGTGCCATAGCTGCGTCCGCCGCCATTCAGCAGGGTCATATTGGCGTGTGGCACCTCCGGCAGGGCGGCACACTGTGAGGCCATGCAATGGGGCTGACGCTCCCAGCGTCCGTCAGGCAGGCAGGAAATCTTTTCGATCGGTTCGTTGGAGGCAAATGCGAAGCCAGCATAGCACTGGTACATGGCAATGCCGCGATAGGTGACATTCGAGGAGCCAATGGAGAAGCCGTTATCAATTTGTGGCACAGGACCGCAGTAGACCTCTGTGGGTGAATTAATTGTATTGGAGAGACAGCATTGGAATGAAAGTAACTAACGACTTACCCTGACACTTTGGTATGTAGGAGACACTCCAGTTGCCACCGGGCAAACATTCCGTAACCAGACGCGTCTTGCCGGTGGCAAACTCCTGTCCAATGGGACATGTAAAGCTGACCAGCGTGCCGAAGGCCGTGTCGCGACTGGAGGCCAAGGCCCCAATGCCGGGTTGCAGCTCAGGGCAGTCCGCAGAGAAAGTAGCCGACCAGCTGTGCATGGTAATACCAATTAGTTTGGAAAAGCCAAATTATAGAAGGTTCCAGAGTCCGTTTAGGTTAACTGCAACTTCCTTGACTTACCCCGCTGCGTTATGAAGCGCATCCGAAGTAAATTTAATCAACATCTCGCCAGATGAGGCTGTCAGGGTCAGCTTGGGAGCTGCAGTGCCCGTAAAGCCGTTGCCCGAGTGGAGGCGCAGTCCGGACGTTGAGGAACCATCAAAGACCTGCACATTGTCGCTTTTGTGCACGGTGAACTTGTCAAACTTGAGCGAGAGCGGAGCACGCGCGCCATTTCGTATGGTAAAGAAGCACTCCTGATTCTTTGGATAGTCAGCCAAGCCAAAGGCCGGCGAGGTAACTGTGCCGTTGCGTGCCGTGATCGTCGCCTTGCAGCCTTGAATATAGCGTAGGCTGAAGCCCTTGCCCGCCTCGCCCAGGCTAGACTTGAAGTAGAGATAGAGCGCGTTGCCGGTGGAAATGATCACGCGTTCATTCTGCGAAGTTTTGCCCGTCAGCCGGGCAATGGTGCGACTCATGGGCGATTCGCCATCGCGTATGAGTAACTGATCCCGACTCTCGGCAATATCCAAATCATCAACTTCAATAGAGATAATGCGACCTGGCTGCGCTTTGATCACATACAGGCACTCCAGACCACCTGGATATTGCTTGGGATAGTTAGGGCTGGTCAGTATCTGACGTTGTAGCGTCGCCTTCAGTGTGCCGCCACAATTCTTGGCCTCCGTTTTCCACGTGGCCCGGAAACCCTTGCGCTCCACACTACCGTCCGTTGTGAATTTGACAATCATAAAGTTGGAGGCGGATACAAATGGTTGTGTGGTCAGATCCTGTTTGCCACTTAGCGTAGCCAGCGATACGGATTTGTCTTCGGTGCGTCCACCGACCAGGACTTGGACCGTGTCAAAGGTTTTTTCCGTCTCAAAGTCCTGGAACTGAAGTATGATGTTGCTGCCCAGCGGTCCTTCCAAGGTCCACTTGCATTTGCTCAGCGCACCATACTTGTGCGGATAGTTGGGCGTCTCAATGACATCGCCGCCGGATTGCATGTGGAAGTGGCATTGGGCGGGGCAGTCTAGCTCATCGGTGCCATCGCCGCAATCATCGCTGCCATCGCACTTGAAAGCCTGATTGATGCATTTGCCATTGGCGCAATGCAGTGCACCCTGGGGACAGGCCGGGGCGCGGCACATGAAGGGCAACAGCGACTCGCAGGTGCCCAGATCCCAGCTCTGCGCCTTACTGGCAAAGCTGGCCGCCACGCACTCGCCGGACTCAGCATTGGGCTGCTGCAGAGACCAAAAGCCCGAGTACTGTGAGATCAATGCGCCCGATGCAGACTCTAGGGTATTCGTGCGTAAATCATCCAGCGATGCCAAGCCCAGCCAGTACTTGTCGGAGGCGCGCTGATTGGGATCGCTGGCGCGTGCTATCGCCAGCGTCTCATTGTTCTCCGCATAGCTATCGATAGCCACCAGCTCGGCGCCATATCTGGTAAGCAGGAGAGAGGATGTCAGTGATTAGTGTGGTGTCTGTCTGGGAACTCGAGCTTCCGCTGCACAATTAACGCAATTTCAATTATGCAGCTGCATTTTTCAAATGCGCTTTACTTTCTATTTTGTTGCCACTGCCTTAATTATGCTGTTACCCAAAAAGTAAACGCGTTCACTCGCAGCTAGAAAAAAAAACTCAAAAGAAAACTTTCGTTTCCAATCGCAAGACTTCTTTCGTTAATTTCAAAAGCGCACAGACTGACTTTATGGATTCTACGACAGCTGCGCGTCAAGAGGAAGATGAAGTACAAAAACGAGTTTCCATCTTTGACTCTTTCAAATCTTGCATATTACACATACGCAGGGTGGGCGCTGTGGAAACTGACAGCTTTGAGCAACGCCTTTGTCAATTGTTGCAGCTGTTGGCTGATTGCATGCCAAAAATTATGCATTCTGCAGCCAGTGTTGCAAAAAATTTAGCTTAAAAATGGCTAAATTAGTTTTCTGAGCACAAGTTGGCAATAAAAGTCTGCCTCTTACTCGTCATTGAGCTGCCATAAAATGGCTAAATCAGTTTGAAATTACAACTATTGCAGAATTTAGCCAGAAAATAGTTAAATTTTCAGTACTGTTAACGAATCACATAAACATGCTGCGTGGCTAATACCAAGTGAAAACAGAAAACCTGGCCGCATACATATTTAAGTAAGTGTGCATAGCTAGGGAATTTGATGCTTTACTTTTGTGTGGTATTACTTGTATGTCGGCACTTGGCTTTTTTCACTAAAATGCCAAAAACCTTGGTGAGCATTTGATATTATCGTGTTTTTAAATTGAAATATAAAATTGAATACAACTAAAATATATGCGAATAAATCAAAAGTCTTAATATTGTATTGAAAGTATTACTTAATAGGTTTTAAAATATTTATATTATAATTATTATTGGTATTATACTTTAAATAAAAAGGTTCGGTCTTTCAGTTTACGTTTCAAGCCAATCCCATGTCTAAGGTTTCGTTATGGCAAATAAGAAGTGCGGATTCCGGGTTACATTTGGCTTAGCTCTAAACCGATTTGCAGGTTCAAATATCTATTCTACTTATTGATTTAAATGACCTGTTTATTGTTTTATTACACGAATTACAATTTATTTTTTCTTTGGTAAAATATCCAGATAAATGCTTTGGCTCAACAAAAGGTTGGCTACCTGTTTCCGCACCTAACGCCAAAAGGCTAACCAAATTATCTTGTTCAAATAAGCAACTGCCAAAACTTCATTCAAAAAGTTTTCAATGCGTTTTCACATTGGCTACGCCCAAAAAAAAACTACTTAAACCAACAAGTCCAAAATACATGAATGCCTTTTTTTGGTCACAGCTCCGTTAACTTGAAATGTTAACGCCTTATCGGCGCTTTCTTTCATTCTTCCCATTTGGCTTGCTGCACACGCAAAATCGTTAAGCAACAGGGAGAAAACAAGTAAGAATTTTGCAGTCGGGTGTAACCGACTCCGTAATACTTGTTCCAATACCCAATAACAGCTTAAAAGAGACTATTTGCAAACTTATTGAAAGACATTGATTTTTGAGAAATGCCACGCCTTGATTTACAGAGGAGCTCAGCAGTCCTCAGTCTAAATATATTAATATATATAAAATGATAAATAAAAAAAATCTTATATAGAGAGCTGTCTCATAGCCTTTATACTCTCTTTACTTTATGAACAGAGTATGCAGAAAAAAAAAGAAAATTTCACCCAGGCAAATATTTCACATTTTGAGTGTTGAGTTCAGCACAGACGACACCTGACAACGCACTGCTATTTGTTATACCGATTTATATACGTAGTCTTAATTTATATGTATGTATATATATATTTGTTTTCTTTTTGGCAAATCTATCGCTTAAACAATTTCGAGCTGTTTGTCGTTTGTTGAACTTGCGCTGAGGTAAAATACAATGAAACGCCAGCCGCATTTTAATTGCCATTGGACTGGGGCGAGGTCTTTGGCATGTAAATGACGTGTGCACATTAGAGAAGTAGCCAGTGTCAACTGGTGTAGCCTGTGCCGGGCATATGTAATTGCCAGTTAACACTTGACGGCGAAGAGAAATTGCGTAGGCCATTGACATTAGACTAGCCAAGTACACGGCCAGCCAATATGCTTATTAATGTGCAACCAAAAGAAAACTAAAATTCATTTCGGCTAACTTTCACCCCACATGCCCCGCGGTCAAGCCAAAACCGGCGATTCACACGCTCATTAAAAGCAAGCAGAAATATTGAATCGATAAAAAAAGCTAAGGCTTCAATCAAATCGAAACACTCTCAATTTTCAAGCCAAGCCCAAAAATAAAATAAAAGCCCGAAAGCCAAAAGAAAAAAGGTTCACGCTGCACGAGCTCTTAACTCTTGAAGCTCTTGGAACAGGTGGCTGGGCACTGAACGGACCACTTGCAAGTATTTGGGTCAACAGTGGGTTAACACCCAGAAAACCGAATCAGGAATGTTTTGGGGCCGAGCGCCGGAAGCTTATCGACGACTTTCTTTTCGCTCGAACGAAGAGTGTGGAAAACAGAAAAATAATATGAATCATCGGCCATCGAATTATGGCTTATCGATGGCCCGGCCAGTCGGGCCAGAAAAACAATTTCAAACTTGGCCAACACTGTTTGGGACGCAGCCCACTTTGGCATTGACAGTTAACTGTCAGCGGAAATGCAATGCGGTGCCGTAACGGCAACTGCTGCAAGTACAAGCACACACACACACACACAGCCAGTCAGGTAACTAGTCGCTAACTAACTTAGTATCTATCTATCAAGAAGAACAGGTAGCTGTGCTTATTGAAGCGTAGCTGCTCTGAGACACCGCGCAACAAGTTGTCTAAAACAGAAGCCCGAACCCACAACTTCCTCGATTTCTATATATGTACATATATATTCAAATTAACATCTGATTATGGTTATGCTATGGTTTTACTCACCTTCGACACAGTTCGGCGCTTTTCTCCCACGAATGTTTGATATTAAAATATTTATAACAATTTAAGCCGCGCAGTTCCCAGCCTGTAAATAACAAAAACAATAATAAATTCGTATTAGACAAGGTCACAATTCATTTGGAAAACTGCAAGGCAAACGCAGTGCAAATTTGAGTTTTAGAAATAATTGGAAACATTTGTTGAAAACTAGACAAGGCACAGCTGGTATAATATAACAATTGTATATTCTTTAATTTCGTTAATTCAATTTATATTATTTATCATTATTAATACTAATTTGTATTATTATTATTATCATTCCAATTATTATTACTTCTATTTTTATTATTATCACGTATATTCGCATTTGTAAATTCATTTAATTATTATATTTTATTATTTTATGAACAGTATATCAAGATTTTATATGCCTAACATATAAAATTGACATATTTTTAGTTAAATAAATTTTTTATATTGAATCCAGTCAATTTTCATTGATGCTGATTTCTATGTACATGAATAATATTTAAAATTTAAATGTACAGCAATGTTTATTGTTTACAAACTTGTAAAATTTTTTAAGATTCTTGCTTTAATTAAAAAGGGCTTAATTAAAACGAAGTATAATCTAAATAGATTTGGTTTCTCTTCGTAATATCTTCTTAATTCACCGCTTATCGGCAAACCAGTCTTGAAGGCATATTCCATTGAAAAGCCTCACGCATGCAACCACTTGATACAACTCCTATCTGCGCTTGATAAAAGGAGAAATTACTTCCCATAACCAAACTCTTTGCATACCCCCTCATTCGACATTAAATTCTACAACAACTTCTACGGGCAGCTCTTGACATTTAATTCAGTTGCAGTTGGTTTCCCGCTGAGATCTCTAGCGTGACCCCAATCTAAGCGACTTGTTTTGCATAATTTAATTTCCACATCTCTGGCTGTGGCTTTCTATGCCATTGAGAGACATATGAGCTCTTTAGATTTAATTGCTTGTTCTGGAGACACAAGCACTTAATTGAGTTATTTACTCGGCCAGCCTGAATACGTGCATGTTGTATTAGAAGTTAGCTGCTAAGACTTAAGTATGTAATTTTTATTTGTTTTTTTTAGAAAATTACAATTAATTATTTGGCTCGTGGCGCTTTCATTTTCCTCAATCTAAATGCGTTGCGTTTTCCTGGTAAAATGGGAAAGTTGCTGCGACATGTCGAGCCCGCCTTCTGTCGGCTTGATTGACAGCTTTCATTTAAAATCAAATCGGTTGAAATATGCCACAAGGCGCGCGCAATGTTTATACGCCGTTTCAAAATTGCAAAAAGCAAAAACCAAAAAAAAAAGCACAAGTATTTAAACAATTTTGCTGTGTGTTTGAAAAGAGTCAACACAAGTTGTCACCATCGTCAGTGCCGGCTTTGCCTTTGGTGCCTTTTGGTGAGGCTTCGGCGGGCTCCGAAAGCTGTTACAGTTTTTCTTGCAAACTGACATGGGCTGACATGGCTCAGTGTGTTAGTTAGTTACCATTTGGCATGGACTTTCACGATTTCCGTGTAGCTGCAGTAGAAAAACTACTGCGCAGAATCCAATCATTGTGCTTAGATTACGAGGAGAGGATGCTGAAACATGATATTACGGATAAGACTATCATTATTTATCCCTTAAATTGCTACAAGAATCTCAACATCAAACTTATCTCAATTATTTTTAAATTGTCAATTCGCACAAAGTTTAAAACTATTTATAATAAATAGTTGTATTTTAACAATATAAATTGTTATGGCTTGCATAATTTAAACTGTTTCGTTTTATTTATAATCTCATATAACAGGCATTACTGTCTCAAACCTTGATCTAAGACCGTTGCCTGAGCTTTGACAGGGCGTAAGTTTAAACATAATAACTAATTACCTGTGTTTTTTGTGCTCAATTTTTGTGCATTTGGCCAAGTGACCTGTCAAAATAATGTCAAGCTTGACTAATGTACACCTGAATCATTTTGAATTTATTTTTATTATTTTGTAGAGTATTATTACAAAGTTTGAGACATAACTGGCTCAAACATGGAATTGGCATGTTTATCATAAGCCGAACCTTTTATTTAACGTTTGACAAACCAAGGTTTTAACTGAAGAACCTGGGTTGATGGATGTGATAAGTAAGGTTCTTGAACCGAAACTTAAGTCAGGGCGTTCCATCGAGCTATAAGCCGAAACAGCTACAATAAATTTGTATTTTTGCAGCCCTGATAATTGCAGTACTTTTATTTGAACTCAATACTTTGTAAGCATCTGATTCAGTCAAAAGCCTCAATCTGATTATGTTAATTTCGTCTGTCATGTCGGCAAATTGCTTCAAATTCTTGGCCAATTGTGCAGCTCTCATCTTTACTGGCCAGACAGCGTAAATTCTACTTTTTATATACACAATTTTTTTTCTTGCTATTTTATTTTGCTTATTTAAGTGTTTACCGCTATTTGCCACAATTCCAATTTATTTATTTGTTGCCCATTTACCGCAGCAATTTTAATTTAATTTTAGCTGCGCTACGTACCAACAAATACCCAAACATAACCGTACACTGTGCCACTTAGCAAGTGAAAAAAAAAAGTAAATAAATAATAAAAAGTAGAACTGGAGAGGCGCAGACATTTAGATTCTTTGGTTCTTAGCACGCTTCAATTGAAATAAGTCGAACGGCAACGGAGACTTACGGAACGGTCAGCAGAACAAACCTCATGTAATTGTATTTAATGGCCAACTATTTGTCTCTCTCTCTACTCGACTCCCACTAAGTGTGTGTGTGTGTGTGTGTCGGCCTGTCCGTCAAGTAGCTGAAGTTTCTCTATAAGCAATTTAAGCCACGTAACCAGCCAATGGCTTCGAAAAATTCCTTTACTCTTGGACTGGGTGCAGCAACAGCTGGACAAGGTTAGCAAGTTTCTCAGTTCTTTTAATTTTCTTTGTCAAACGTGTGTGTCTTATACCCTAGTAGAGGGTATTGTTACTTAGTAATGAAATATGTAATTCATTAAAGAAAACATCTTAGAGCCCATAAAGAGAATATATTCTTAATCATGTCTGTGTCTTTTTCTATGAAACTATATTGGAGTCGCCCGAATCGAACTACTATATCACATCTAATATCATAATTAGATCTTGAACAAATCCAGCATTTTTTCATTATGCTTCTATTTATATATAAGAATTAACCTGGGACTGCTAAAGCATACTGATCTATGGGAAAAATGGGTAGAAAGATAAGTTTGTGTATGACAAACTTTTCTGTTTTTAAAGTTGTCTTATTCTATTTCCTATTCTGCTCACATATTTACAGACCCCAAGCTATTTGGCTTAAAGAGTATTTAATCTTCGGGTTGCCATTCTTGCTCGTTTTTACTTGAATTTGCATGGCTGTTGACTGCTTTATTGAATTGTGCCACATATTTGAAATGCTTGCCAGGAAGTTTTGTAAGCCATTTGCTATGCAAATTTGCTGCGTGACTTGATGTTTGTTTTTTTTCTTTATATACATATATATATATATATATATGGACGGCTTTTAAGCTCCGTATAGAAAATGTATGCAACTGCATTTTTTAGCCGTGCTCTAATTACCAAAGCGGCAGCTGCTGAAAGAGCAGCCAGAGGCAAACATCTCTGCGCCTGCTGCTCTGATCATTGTCTATAATTTCAGGCTCAACACTCAGCGGAACGCTCTCTGACGAAATCTTGTGTTCACAATACAAATTAATAATGTGAGAATTTCTTACGTAAAACTCAAAGCTCAGACACACAGGCAGGTAGGTAGGTATCTGGGAGCGCCACATACTCTGAAGAAATATGTATTTAACCAGAAATGAGAAGTTTTTTTTGCCGAATCTTTGCACTTTATCAAACTAAAATTAACAAAGAGCTCTTTAAAGAGATCTGAGACAGCTGAGACACTTGCACCAGTTTCTGAAATGCTCAAGCTGTGAGAACTTTGCTTGGATTGGCTTTTGGTATTAATTTTAAAACAAAAAACAATCGAATGGCCTTGCAAAAGTAGTTTAAGTAACTGAGAAAATATGCTTAGAACCCTTTTATAAACATTAACTGTGGTCTTTTTTTGCAAGCAAAGCCCAGCTTCTATGAACAAATGCTGTGCAAATATTTTGTGCAGACTCTAAATCAATGAAGCCAAAAACTAGAGTTCAAAAATATCTATAAAAAATTTGCTCAACAATTAAATAATATCATAAATGAGAGCTCATAAATAGCCATTTTGGTTTAATTTATCCTTTCAAGAACAATAATTCAAGAAAATTAATAAAATACCTATTTTTCAAGCAACTAAGTACTTGATATTTGTACACTTTGCAAAGTCTTAAGTACACAAAACATTTAGATTTAACCCATTTATTTAATTATGTGCTATTAACCCAAAAAAATACCTTCTTGATGTCCATGTCTGTTGTCCTATTTGGAAATTCACTTTGGCAATTTAATAACCAGCATAGTTTTTCATGTTTTATTATTGTTATTTTGTTGTTGTTGTTGCCGGCGCTTTTGTGTTGTTACTCTGCCGAAACAAGAAAGTGAAAATCAAGTTGCGGGCACGCATAAGTTTCACAAGTGCAATAAATCGTATTGTGCCCTCTTTCATTAGCCTCATTTTTTATGCATTTCTTTGGCTCGGCAAAGCGAATTTATCTTTGCCACATTATCTACAAGAGATCTTTCATTGCGTAGAAAGCGGAATTGCAAGAACACATATATATCTTGTAATTCTGTAATTCTAGCTGTATTATTTGGCTTTTTTTGCAGCTGTGGATTACCAACAGGTAATACGAGTGCCTTAACTTTGATTTTGCTAGCTGTCAATGGCCGTTGCCCAAACGTTCATTAAACCTTTGGGTCTAACGTAAAGTTCATTTAACTTTTCGCACATTTTGTGCTCTGGCAAGTGTTCATCTTTAACACGCTCCCTCTCTCTCTCTCTCTCTCTCTCTCTATCTGTGTCTCTCCCTCTCTCTTTCTCTATCTGTCTCATTCTCTGTCTATCTTTCCATCATTCTCTGACTAGCTTTACCTTTCGCACACAGTTCACACAGAAGTCAGTCAACTAGAAAAGTGTTGACTTCCATAAACCACCGACAAATTTGTTTAAGCACACGCGCATTTTACGCTTCATGATTTGCTAAAATGTTGAATTTTAAAAATCATAAATAATATCACCCCATAATAGCACACATATGTGTTATAAGACCCTAATCAGAGTGTCATATATCACTTGGATTGTGCGTGCTGACCCAGAAACATGTTCAAAATGCTGCATTTTTCAAGAAGCAGCTCACGAAAAGAACTTGATTTAATTAGCTTTTTCGAGCAGATGATGATAATGATGATGATGATGATGCTCTTGGCATTTACTGAAGCGTGTCCAAAAATTGTGGAACTTAGAAGTCGTCGCATAGTTCTAGTTGTTGTTGTTGTTGTTGCCTACTTATGCGTTTCGTTACGTTTCTAGGTAAGTTTGCGAGTTGTTTGCTTAGCTCGTCTGCCTGTTTATCAATTTGAGGCATTTACAGTTAGACGTGAGATGGTTGAATGACGGTTAATGAATACAAACTTTGGTGTGGCTCCAGTAAATATTACACATGCCTTAAATCGCAGCTAACTAAAAAATACTTCTTCATTTGGGTAGACATTAAAGAAAACGAAACGCATTATTAACAGAGCAAAGCATGATTGAAGAGTCACCTCTTATGTGAAAACATGATTATGATAAGATGTAGGATACAAAAATTAGTTACATTTTTTTCATATTTAATGTAAAAAAAAACTCCAAAAATATTATATAATTAACCATATATTATATAATATTATATTAAATTCAAGAAATACGCTATAAAGAATGGAGAAATATTATTGCGCCTTCTATAATATTATATATATGTATATATATATATAATGAGGTGTCACATCAGGCTGCTAGCAATTGAGCACTGCATCTAATGTAATCGTTAAAAACGCCCATACACCCATATGGGCCACACGAAAAGCCATCAATAAAAGTAATGCCCAAACTAAATAAATGCAATAAAAACAACAACAACTGCATGAAACGCCAACAGTTTGGCCTATTTTTGCACAACTGCACCTAAAACAAGTCAAACTCACACTCACACATACACACACATATGCTTTAGCACGCATACAACTGCAGAAGTGCTGCCTGGCATATGAATCAAAAACACTGCCAACGTAACATGAAAATATCAAAAGACTTAGGCAACGAACTTGTTTTGGCCACCGTGCAGTTGGCGGCTCCGTTGGCAGGTGCTCGCATGTGTGTGTTTGTTTGCATGTGTGAGTGCATATAAAAGTGTTAATAAGCACGGCAACTGCAGCTAGTTAATATGAGGCAGCTACAGCTATTCCAACAACAACAACAGCTAAAAGCAGCGGCATGCTAGGCAGTCTGGGACTGGGACTGAGACTGGGACTGGAGTCGGGCAACAGGAGAAGGAGGCGGCGAACCGATCGCCAAGTTAGTCAGTCAGTCAGGCAAACTTGGCTTGGTATTAAACAACCGTTAAGAAATCTTGTTTTGAAGCGCGTTAACGTTTTTTCCTAGCTAGAAACTTGTCTCGCCTTCCATATGCGGCCATGGAGAGTACTCATACGAGTATATACATCTATATATATATATATAATCTTTGTCAGAGTTCTTGCGCTGTAACTTTGTGCTGTCATAGCCATGGCATGGCGGGCATTCTTGGCATTATCGCCCAGTGGGGCAACAACAGCAACCAGTTTGGCATATGTTATAACCGTTATCATTGCCAGTTGTAGGTGGCCATCGAGTGAAAGGCAACAGCGCCAAGTGTTGACTGCTGATTACAGGCCGCATAGAATGATTGATTGGCTAGTCCAGCATTTCCGTCAGCTCGACTTTTTTCAAAAATGTTCGCTTGTTCTTGCCAAAATGTAGCGGTTCAACACGTTTGGCGGGTTTTGGCTACTTTTGTGTCGATTTGCCATTAACGATAAAGTCGCACTAGCATTTTAATGGCCAAAGTGTGCTTGGTATTTATGAAAGGAGCTTAGAGCTGTGGCCTAATGATAGCCAAGAAAAACATTTCCTATCCTAGGGCCTGAAATGGCTAAGCAACTGATGAAAATAATTATTAGCCGCTGACTCGAAGCGAGGCTCAATTTCACTGTTAGCAAAGAATGATCGACAATTTTCTTGTAGAAGAAAACTGATTATCATTATTTCATTCATTTATTTTTCCAGTCCAGACAAAGAATTCATTTGCTTATAAACAGCATACAATTTTTATAAATGTGTGTAATTATTATGGAAAAACAAGCATTAAATTCTGTAATAGCCTCAAAAGAAGATTTCCTTTGGTTCAATCGGATTAATTGATGAGTGATGATGTGGTAGAAAAAGATTTCTCTGCCTAAAAGGTTCATTTGTATGAATGCAGGAAAACACTTAATGAAGTATGAATACCTATTGATAAACTCAGCAAGCCAATTATGACAAATAAAAGAGGTAATAAATAAAAAGCTAAGCCCAACTTCGAGAATTTATCTATAACAAAATCTGTCTTAAAGCTTCCTATAAAGAAATGCTTGATTTATTTTGAATTTAATAAACTTTGCTAAATCTAATTCTCGCGTGCGACCTTGTTTAAGAGCAAATAATATGCTTTAAGAACTTTTAAATTAAATGCTTCTTTTAAATAAATGCTTTGGTAGCCATTAAATATATAATTAGAAGTTAGCTTAAAAATCAAAATAACGCATTTAATTACAGTTTAACATAGATTTTAACTGCGGCTAAATGCGCGGCAGGCACACACAAGCACACAGCCAAAAACCAATTAAGTCGACGGAAATCAAAGACAATTTGCCCGGCCCATTGGCAAAAGCCAATTCCACATCCGTTTTGACTATATAGGAATATATATATGTATATATATTTAATGCATGTACATCCATATAATTACATTAATTTTCGCTTTGATTTATGCGCAAGTTTTTGGCCACACCTGCAGCGGCCACGCACGTGCCTTTTCGAATTGTTTAAGTGCAGCTTAAATTGGAAATTCAAGTTGAATGCGAAACTTACCATTTGGACACGAAAACGCCTCGTCCGCTGTGGTTGTGTGCAGCAGCACCACCAGCAGCAACGACAGCAAAGCGGCCAGCCAATGCGAATTGGCTGCCGTCGACTTGATCATGTTGCCGATTTAATGCCAATTAAAGTTGAATGGGGCAGCCTGCAAGAAGAATACCAGAAACATGTAGTTAAGTTTAAGAATTTATTTCTAAATACAATAAATAGCAAGAAATAAGGTAAAAAGTAATAAATAAAATAATAATAAGCCGCGCCTAATTGTTTAAAAATATTTGCCAAAACTGGTTGGCTTATTTCGAATCCCAAAAAGAATCGCATATTACTTGAACTCAGATTCGTTTAACCATTTTTATATGTTTAGCTGTTTAGCAATTTTATCGCATCTGTAAATTTGAGTGCAGCACGTGTTTTGTGGCTTTGAAAACTTTGCGAATGCGGTTTAGAAAGTTTCTGCGCCAAAAAAAACACAGAATTCAACACAAATAACAAGCTTTGCATATATTTCACTCAGTGACTAAATCTCGTGGCCGCCGCCATGCAATAAATTTAACTAATGGGGGGTTAATCGCTTTTGGTCGCGTGAAATTGCGTATTGGTGTTTCTTCTTTTGCGAACTGAGCTATGTGGGTTTGAAAATAAAACAACAAATACCCAATGACCAAAGTCTACAATTTTAACTGATGAAAGAGTAATAATAAAAGATAATTTATGCATACAGGTTATATGCGTTAAATTAGAGAAATGGGCGAAGAGCTTTATACATCGATTCTCCATTTATCAACATGCATTCTTAAAGTGCTTGCTTGTATTATATATATACCCTTAAGTATATATATATTATAGATCAGCATCAACAGCCGAGTTGTCTGTCTGTCCGTCTGTCTGTTTCTATGCGAACTAGTCTCTCAGGCTTAAAGTTATCGTCTTGATACTTTGCATACGTCCGTCTTTCTATTGCAGGCAGTAAATATGTCCGCTGGATCGGACCACTATAGTATACAATTGAAATAGGAACGATATATTTTCATCAAACTTACAACTCGCATATCTGCATATGGTCTGATATGTCTACTATTGAATCTATAGCGTGCCGAAAATGTCCTTACTTTAAATATGAAGATTAAACTTTATTTAATTGAATAAATAATCCTCATCAAAAGTTAGACACGCCCAAATCTTAACTTTAAAGCTTCTCAGACGCCCATTTTGATTACCCTTTCTCAAGCTGTTACGCACCCATAAAAGAAAAACCTGACTTCATAATATATACAATCATTTTTATATCTCCGCCTTTTACACTTCACATATAAAGTTTAAGGCTCTTTGCATTGTTGTCATAAGTCCCAAGTGCTTGTCTGTCTGAACTTTGTAGTTCACTTTTGTCTCATTGTTAAATGCTCGGGCACACACAGTGTGTATGTGTTTGTGTGTGTGTGTGTTTGTGTGTGCCTTTTCATTCATACGCTATGCAAAGTAAGTCATACAGTCTGGCGTTTTGTGTTGCTCTGAAAGCCGAGATCGAGGCGCAAGGTTGCCGTTATTGCCAAGTAATTATAACTAACTAACACATTATGCATACATATTTGTTGTTTATATTATATTTTTAGTTTACACGCGCATAGTTTATCTTGTTTTTGAGTGCTGTTTGTGCTTGGGAAAGGTGCTTGTTAACTAAGGCGGTAAAAATTTGCAGAGCTGAATCTGAGGATTTTAATTTAAGGGAATTTATCGAAATTTAAATATAAGTTGACAGATGTCTGTCAGTTAATTTAGTCTTAAAACAAATTGTAATTGTAAATTGTAAAACATATTTTTCGATTCGTAAAAATCACTTTTGACGCTGCCCAAAACAAGTTTGTTGCCTAAGTCTTTTGTAATGATTTTTTTTTTGTTTTTCGCTTTGGTTTGTTTACAATGATATTTTCGTTGCAGCTGTTAAGCTTGACGTATCTGATACTCCCTAGACCAGCCCATTAACAACTTCCGCAAACAAAATCTCCACACACAAACACATACACATGCACACATGCACACACAGAGAGTTGCTGCTGGCAATCTCAAATCTCAGCTTAAAATTTAGTCAAACGCGAAGGTTGTACAGCTTCGCACCTTGCACATGTTTCATTTGCGACTGGGGGAGAGAGAGACACACACACATTTACAATGCTTATTAGATAACTTTGATTAATGCACGCGAAAGGCTGAAACCTAAGCCAAGAGCCATACAAAGCGGCTTACGGTGTCGCTGGCGTCGGCGGCTCTTTTTTATTGAAAGCCAAATTAATTTGCAAGTAAGCGCAGCAAACTCCACACGCACCACACGACATCAGCCAAGATTCAACAGCTTTCAAAGTTAATTAACGAAAAAAAATTTGTTTTTCCCGCACTTGTAGCGCAAATAATACAAGCAAAAGGGCGGCGCCCGTTTCTTAATTGCCTGCATTATGCAACGCGCATAATTTTTCCTTTTATGCATATTTTAGCGCGCACTTTTTTCATTTTTTTTTATCTTTTATGCATTTTCAAATCAAGTTGAGAGCTAAAAACTTTTTATAAAGTAATATATTATATTATTATTTATATAATTAATTATAATATTATATATAATATAAAATAATAAATGAAAGCAAAATTAGAAACAAACTTTAAGTACTCAAAAACATTAAAATAAAAAAAACAATAACAATAACCTGTTGATGTTTTGCTTAACTTCAATTTAAGTTACATACATTTTTCAATATTTATAATTCTTTATTGATATTTCTCTATTTTCTTTTGAGGGGCAGGCATAGCCATGCATTTATTGCATAGTTTATCAACATAATGTTAAGTACCTATCCTTATCTCCAGTCGGTCAAATTCTAAATTCTAAGACATTTTATTATTTATTTTAAATTGCAAGCATACTCTTTCAGCATCAACTTACAGAGCATGAAACGTCGGAACAAAAGTGCCAGTATGCCCCGTTCAACTTTAAGTTACAGGGCATACAAAAATCATTTAAAATCCTATTTCGCTGCGGTGCAGCTGTGTAGCCACCCAAACCACATTTTTGTGAGCCAGCAGCCGGCAACTGTTGCCAATGTTGTTGCTGCAATTAGCTGGCTATGCGGTTTGGCCCAGAAAGCAACTTGCTGCCAAACATTAGTAGCCAGCAAACTGGCTGCAGCTGCCGTTGTTGTGGATGTTGTTGTTGCTGTTGTCTATGTTGTGTTTTGCTGAACAGCACAAATATTTGCGTGCTTGTGTGTGTGTGTGTGGGTGATGGCTGCCATTGTTTAGTTTGCGGCAAGGCGCCAATAAGTGCAGACTGCGGCAACAGTTTGTTTATAAAAGACATGTGTATTTACTTAGCGGCTGAATGAAGGCTTAGACAGTGTCAATTTGGGGGCGTGGGCCGATCGGGCATGGCCACAAAAAAGTGCATAGTCATTAGCTAAGCTGAGTATTGTGTATTAAATGAATGTTTTTTCAACACTGACATCAATTTGTGCTGATGAGTCAAAGTCACAGTATCATGGGATCATGTTTTGATAGAAGCTTAATATAATCAAAACTGAAATAATGCGAAATACCTGATGCCTTTGATTTTTTTTTAAATTTATCACTAAATTCTTTATACATTTTATAAATTCTATTAGGCGAAATTCCATTCTCAGCACCTAAAACGAAACGGCAAACATCGCTAAGTGTGCTTAACTGTAGTTTCCGCTCATTTAATACCAATTCGATGACTAATTGAATTACTTTATCGTGTTCCGCAAACTCTTGAGACTTTTCGCCTGTCCTGTGGCTATACAATTAGACGTCAGTTAGAAGTCAACACCCCGACAGAAATATTTTGCTTATATAATCATAGCTAATGAGCGCAACCCGTAGACATGAATCGAACACAAAGCACGAACTATGCCAACGGACAATACAATGGCCAAAATATTTTCTGGATAGTGGTAAAAATCTCAAACTTCAGACAGAGCATCGCATCATTCAATCTCTGACTCAATGTGCATTTTTAAAAGGCGCCTTACCAACTGCAATATGCAATATGCAAATATCAGCTGTCGTATGCATACTAATAAATAATCGAAAAGCCAATACGTATTTAGCATGTTAATAAAGCGCCGGGCGAGAGTGAAAGGCTCGTACAGTTTGGCTTGGGTGTACAGCCTTTTGCCATAGCTTTGATTATGTATCTATAAAGTTGATTATGCGCCAACTGATTTGGCAATGTTCAGCATAATTTACATGAAAATTGACGCTATGGGAAATTTAAACTAAAATTATACAATATTAGTGGTTGCTTGTTCGTAATCGGCGTGCAAGACACCTATTTAAAGCTATTTATTAAAACGTTTTGAACAATGAAATGAATGAAAGATATTATTAAATAGATGCCTATCACAACACATTACGACAGGTGATTCGATCGCAAAATATATCAACTTGTTTTATAAACAAAAAAGGGCGCAAGTTCAAAAATGTTTGCTGGTTCAACTTACAATTTGAATCAATATCTTGCCTTTAAAAAAAATGCCCTTTGGCTTAGATTTAGGTTGGGCTAAACTCAGTTTTCAGCCTTAAAGAAAGGCGAATAAAAATCAGAGATTTAAACAAATATTATTTATATCGTTGATTCGAACACTTCTTTGCTGCTCAAAAAACAAAAGACTTACGCAACGAACTTGACAGCTTCAACGCAGAAACTCAAGCTACAACAACAATAGCCACAGACCATCATCAAGGCAGAACAAAAAGACTTTGAGTGAGGCAATGGCAGCCGAATAAAACCTTTTTAGCAAACATGTCTGCAAAGCTGTTTCGCAATGCGCCGTGTCGAGGAAAACGTTGAGACTCATGGAGCGTCAATCAAAATTCAAATTTTCTAGCATATGCAAAGCGATCGAAATGAAAATCCAACAGCACAAATGAATCAAAAGAGCAGCAGCAGCCGCAGAGAGGCTGTAGCCAAACCGGTTGTGGGTTTACAGGTAAAATTATTGATGACACCTTCGACATTTAAGCGCAGCCAACAAAAAGGTTGACGTTGACTAAATGCGGCTCGGCTGGTTGGCATACAGTAGTCCATGGCTATGGCTATGGCTGCAGCCGTGGCAAA